TGACACTTTAAAGGAAACATTCTTTTGTTGAATTGGTTGAATTACGTTCCAGGAATCAAACTCATCCGCGATATAAGTTAATGCACAAGCAACCGATGAAATGTTAGATTGATGTGTCATGGAGGGTTATTTGGAGTACTGAGCAGCCTTGAAGTCATTAGAGTCCCAATTCTTACAGCCGCAAGATTGGGGATCGACGAGATTGTTCGTGAAATTCTGGACGCCTATTACTATTCTTACTGCTTTTGGGACGAAATGGTCATGCTATATTTCATATTGCAATAATACATCGCCAAGATAAAGTCTTTAGTCTCCTAAATAATTGGACTTATTTTTGTGGGATGGAAAGCAGCCAGCAGGTTGAAAAAACTGACAACTATTGCATTTGACTGGAAGGTTGGTACCTCAGATCAAGTCCCTGGAGCCGCATTACAGATGCAAAAGGAACTAAAATGGTTCAAGTGATATATCTTCTTTATATAGCTTGCACTAACCGTGCAATAATCACAAAGATTAAAAGCTATTTATATTTGTGGTGTTGTTTTATTTTATGCTATTTATACTTACATTGTTGTTATTTTGTTCTCAGGCTGTGAAAAGTTATGTGCATCCATCCCTCCAAGAACACCGAAATGGATCCAATAAAACTCCTAAAGAAGGGTTTACCAAAGAACATAAGAATTGGTTAAAGAAGGTGAAAAATGGATGAAAGAACTGCTTCATCCTGCATTGTTGCAGCTGCACTCATAACACTGTAGTGTTTGCTGCAGCTTTCACTTTACCAGGGGGCAATGACATGACGGGACCCCTATTTTTTTTTTCTAAGAAATCGTTCAAGCGTTTATCATATTCGATGCGCTTGCACTCTTTTCCAGCAGTGCTTCTTTGCTGATTTTCATGGGCATCGTCGCTTCACGTTATTCAGAAGAAGATTTTCTGGAGTACTTGCAAAGATTTTTATTGGCCACATCGCTTTACTCCTCTCTGCATATGCATGATGATAGCCTTTGGTGAAGCCATGTTCATGATCCTTTCTCATAAATGGTTCAACTTTATCTACCACTATCCTTTGTTGGTTGCCTCACAATGATCTTTTTTCAAGGCTGCAGTTTCCCCTTTTGATTGAAATGTTTAATCCACTTATGACGTAGCATGTTTTAACCAATACAGTAATAATATGTAACTCTCCTTATGTAATACATATGCAATGTTCTTAATTTGCTAATTAAGTTACAATTTCTATGTTTTTCTTTAATTCAATAGACTTGTTTCTGTAAGCTACTACGTATATTGTATGCAGTTTCTATTGATCACCTCCTTATATACTTTGTTGCCGCCAGCCGTAATAGCCAATAGGATAAGTAGTGCACCAAAATTACACCTCCTCAATGGCCAAGGAGATAACAGACCTGGTCATCAACTTTCAACTCAAAATCCTTTCAAGTTAAAGCCTACACTCTGGGAAGGGCATGGGTGAAGTTTTTAATAAAGAAAAAGTTGCTTTGTACATGTGTAGGGATTTTGCACGAGGACTTTTTCTGCAAGGGATGAGTTTGGTTAGTTTCGAGTCAATTAGCTTGACCCACTAAATATGCAGTTGTGGGTAAATGTGAAAGGAAGCTTGTGTTATGCATATAAACTTTCTAATTAATTTAACAATCACTGTCGTCTTTGCAGCAGCTTTCACTATACCATGTGTACAAAGAGGTGAGATACCCATTGCGCTTGCGATCTCTTCTCTCCACTGCTTCATTGCCAATGTTCTTGGCCCCTCACCTCCGTTACTCAGAAACCGATTTATTTTCTGAGTCCAAATTATGGCGTTCTCACCATATGTGTGTATGGTAGCATTTGGTGCAACCATTTACATGTTATGTTCATCCATGGACCAATTTGTCTTGCTTGGTTGATCCCTGACCTTATTTACCTTGTTGCGTTTCCTCTATTCGTTGAAATTTACTAATCCACTTATACATCAAGCTTTTCAAGCATTAAGTAAATTAGGGTGTAATCTCCATATAGAGACGATTTGTCCCTGAACTAAATAGGGCTGGTAAATATTATTCCACTCTTTAAATATGATTATTGGTGTGCAACTTACTCTTCTTGGGTCCTTCCTTTTTCTTTTTCTTTTTAAATATGATTAGGAAAGGTAAACTCCCAGAGAAACAGAGTACAATAATACTGTTTTCTAAATAATAAGTGTTGTTCGATAAGGTTTAGATTGAAATTTTTGTACCTTCTATACTCTCTCATATAAAACTAAAAAAAAAATTATTATCAGTAGTTTCATCATACGGCCAGCCACGCGATGGTCTGCTGCCATATCTGGTGGTACGCTCTGCAAAGTGCTCCATCGGAATGTCTTTCAACAATCTATTACTCTCCTGACTAATTTTACAACTATACAAGATTATGAAAAACTAGTCAAGAATGATTTATGGAAAACATATATTTCTTGTAGACTTTTAGTATCCTCTTATAGTTGGAAGAGGAGCTTTTTAGCTCAAACTAATTAGGAGGAATTGAGAAAAGTAAGCTCCGTTTGGTTCACAATTGGGTGTTTTTAGGAAAAGTTTTTTGAAAAAAGTAAAAAAAAAAAGTTGAATTGGGCGGGTATTACGATGTGATTTATAAATATAATACCCCTTATATTTGTTTCTTAACAAAACACCCCTATAATAAAATCTTAAAAGTTAACAAAAACACCCCCACCACCCATGTCAAATACGAACAGCCGGCCACTACCCGCCGAGGTGCCGGAGTTGCTGTAACAAAAACATTAAATATTTAAGGTATTTATTGAATTAACAAATTTAGGGAGTTTAAAAAATATGAATAAGTTGAATAATATTGTGAGTTTTTGGGTATTTTACTGTTTAACTTTTTGGGAATACTAAAAGTAGTATTCCAATTGACAACCAAACGGAGCCTAAGTGTCTTAGAAAGAGGTCACAATTTTGTCTGGTACAAATGCTAAAGGTCACCCCCTTCATAACTAATATATACCCTAATAAATACATCTACCACTTTCCATAATTAATAACTACATAACAGCTCACTAATAAATGAGATATTGTTATAAGATCTTTCTAAGTACAAAGCCCATTATGGTTGGGTTAGATATATGAGTCAAATATAGGTTTTACTTGGGCTTAGGAAGAAATATTAAACTACAATCTATAAGCCTGTTTAATTGATAACCCAGAATTTATTAGGCCAAATCAAGTTTAATATTCAACATATTCGGCTTCGGCATGTTCTTCGCCCTATATATTTTTCCCTTCGCTTTCCAACGATGCAGGATGTGAGTATTAATATTTCTTATATTTACAAACTTTTCATTCAGTCTTTCTATTTTACGTAATCTATCAACTTCTCTGGTCTTTGCGTATTTCAATTTTGTCTTCCCTAGCTAATCATGGTTTTGAAACTACAGATAATAACATTATTTTAAGGTCTTCAAAGATAAAATTTAAGGTCTATATTAATTGTATTCACTTTCTCTATCTAATCTACGGCCATTGACCCCATGACTCCGTCTACGGCCATTAGAGGGCCTGCTAGAGGCAGCCGGTTGCGTTCTTTGAATAAAAAACATTATATATTTATATATCTAATTTTGTATAGTGAAATCAAATTAGGCATATATATAAATATTAATTAAGACTTGTATTTTTTTTCTCTCAAATCTATCTACATATAATCTCTTTATAAATTTATAATAAATTGTTTGTTATCGATACATGACACTTTGTCGAATTTCATTTCAATAATAATTTCAGGTAATACTCTCTCTTAAATAATTCTACCTATTTGTATTTTCATATGTTGTTACTTGTTATTGGTATGAACCACGTTAATCCTTTTTAATTTTTTGTGAAGGTTAATAATTGTGATGATTTTTTTTTTTTTATGTTTTTGAACCAATTTACGCGTATCTCAACTAACCCTTCGAGACTTTAAACTACCGATTAGGTAAAAGCTTCAGTTACTACTCCTATTATAACCAGGAGAACTCAAACTCAGGATCTCTTAAGTATCACTCAAAATTCTTATCAAACCACTGCCCACCAAGAGATAGTTAATGATTCCATATTATTGTTTTCTAATTAAAATATTGAGATACTATGTATACAGTCGGCTCTTTTTCGCAACATTTAACATATATCAACAACAAACAATCCCAAAAGTAACATATAATATATTATATATATATAGAGAAGAGAGAGAGAGAGAGAGAGAGAGAGAGAGCTTATGAATTGTTATATTACGTATCTCTTCTTTTATTTTATTTGCTAGCTTATTAGGCTGTCCAGTTTGTGGGGACATATTCATAGTTTACCTGAATTCCTAACTTAATTTTTAGTTTAAAAGAGAATTGCAATTTGATTGTTAACTAAGAAATGAATAGATGCATTAAAAATTTTCAATAAATTGATGAAAATTGTACTGAGCTTGCATGTTAAAAAAAAAAAAAAAATGGACTGATATTTTCTTGGATGATCAAATGAAAAGATGGTACAAATTATTGAAAGCTTAACCAACAGATGCAAATGGCATCTCATTATTAACCTATGTTTAAATTACAGCTTGAATTGTTATCTCATAAATAATTTTATTGGTTAATTAAGTCATACATATTTTCGAACTGTGAACATCAATTTATTTGGTAAGAAATATTTCTTCCATATATGAAATTCTACAAACCGTAAAAGAGAAGTACAAAGAAGGGCAAAGCAAAGCCACAGAGATAAAATTCAAAAAAAAAAGTGCCACGTGATGGATGCATTTCAATAAGATAAAAAAAATAAAATAACTTACCAGGTTTTCACTCAAAGAACAATAAAAAATTCCAAAAGTTTTATGTTGGGGGAAGTAAGGTATTGCCTTCCCACAACTCAAATTAATTATTCCAATTCTTCTTTACGAATTGGATGAGGTATTGCCTTATATATACTTGAAAACTGGTGCAATGTTTCTCTAAAATTTTCACTGATCAGCGATCACTTGACCAGCAAAAGTTAAGACAAAATAACATACATGGAACTTCTTGTGAATTCAGAAGGTAACTTTACTAATTGGTTTTTCTCATTCTATACTTTACTGATGATTTAATGTCTAATATAGCTTGCACTTTATATTACCTACTTTCTCAATATATACAGAAATGATGAAGAAATTGATAGCGGCTGCAGAAGTTGATAAGGAGAAGTTTGTTCGTTACTGGCCATTACGCAGAGCTATACAACAGGATGACTGGAAAGCTGTTGGAGAATTCACTAGAGATAATTACCCGCAGGTGTTCACGGACAAGATTTCCGAAATTTCTTCAACCTTTTTCCACGTAATTGTACTATTAGATAATGACGCCGCAATTTCATTGTTGCGAGAGAATGTACCGAAGTTTACAGAATCTGTATTGGCAAAAGATGCTAGTGGCGCGACGGCTTTATCGTTAGCAGCAGCTCTTGGCAATAAAAAAGCCGTAGAAATCATTGTAAATTCTTGCCCTGATTCACCAAACGCACTTCTAAGTATGGGGCCTATGAGCAATATCCTTCCAATTCATTTGGCAGCAATTTTTGGACACGAGGAAGTAGTTCAATTTCTACTTCCACGGACTAGATTACTAATAGAAGAAACACAGAACCAATTTCTGCTGGTTCTATTTCTGCTCGGTGTTTCTAATCCATTGGGTTAGTGCAATTTAAACCTTAAATATGCGGGATATCTTTTTTTCACTTAGAACTATTTAATTTATTAATTATATGGCATAGTCTCATAGTTGACCCTTTTGGCTTCTTTAAACAATACATTGTTGTGCTCGCTGTGATTTTAGTTTCTCTCTATGCACAGGTATAACTTTTCGTGTATTTAAGAACCAACTGCGCGATCGTGGTTTGCATCCAAAGCAAAAAGAGTGGATTTTAGGAACGCTGGCTGCAAAGCCTAAGTGGTTTAAAAGTGGGAGTCGGATTGGATTTTTGCAACGCTTCATCTATAGTTGTTAGTATCAAATAATCCCGCTATCTTTCACTTTGTCAAATCACATGTCTAATGCACCCACATATCACATAATCTTCTCATTATAGTCTAGGTTTATTTTTAAAAAAATAATAATTAATTTCTTTGATCATTTGCCACCAATCCTTGAAATTTGAGGGTGGTTCAGATTAAAAAAATCAAGGATATTTCCATCCAAATACATAACCCATGTGTTTTCTGACAGTTTATTGTTGAAGAAATTACTTTTGAGTTTCAAAATTACACTAGTAGTGTTGAAGTCATAGGAAACCTTATCCTGCAGTTCAAGTTGTATCCAACATAAAGATGCCTAAATTTCTCACGAGTATGTATTTGCAGGCATTCCAGTGAAAGATGATAATATGCCTTCCCCTCAGGCCGAAAAGACCGATTTCCAAAATCCTGGAAGTGTAGATGGAGACACGGAAATCCCCAGACAGATATCTGAGATATCTGCTAGTACTTTTAATAGTAAATCTCTCTAATAGTTTTGCCTTTCATAATTTTCCGTATATAGACCACGATAATTGACCTTTCAAAGTCAACACTAAAAGCTATTTGTCTATATATATCAGGTGGAATGCGCCAAAAATTGAAATCTATGTTCTGGAATGTCCTCATGCAGCTAGGTAAGGATTTTAATGGTTGTGTGAATTTATTTGACCAGGTTCTTTAAATAAAATTAATCTTCATTTATAGACTTGAGTTCAATATATATATACAGCCCCATGCATCAAACGGATACATGATGAAAAGTTAAATCACATGCAAGCGCTTGAAATTGTAAGAACAGTGTGTGGGGGAGTTGTTTGGGACTTTGAAAAAGCTTTAGAGACATTAAAGCAACCAATCCTCATAGCTACAAGATTGGGAATTTTGGAGATTGTCGAAGAAATTTTGAAGGTGTATGATTCTGCTCTTTTTTTCGTTGACGAAGCTGGAAAAAATGTGCTGCAGCTTGCAGTTTTGAATCGTCAAGAAATAGTTTTTGGTTTCATGTTAAAGGAGGCTGGGAAATTTTTGTCACAGTACATGGACAATGATCTTAACAACATCTTGCACTTAGCCGGAAAGTCGTCAACTTCAAGTAAAATAGCAGGTTCAGTATTGCAAATGCAGCGGGAGGTGCAATGGTTTAAGGTGATTTATATAAATTTGAGTAGTCTTTTTAGAACTAATTAATTACTTTATGTCGTCCCAATCTTCTTGGTACTATTTTACAAAACTGTTTTGTGCTTAATAAATTTAAAAAATGTGAAAGAAGAAGAAGAAAAGTATACATTTGATATCGTGTAACATTTATGATTTTATTCAAAACATAAACTAATTTCACTCTTCAAAAGATTTATATTCACATAAAGCTTTTTCTGTATTATATTTCCTTAAAAACTTTTTCACATGATATTCTGTGTATGTGATATATTAAACGCAACATTAATTTATTAGATTCAGATTTATTAAACTATCCATATATGTCTAACATTAGATGTAAACTTTTTCATCAGGCTGTGGAAAATTTTGTGCTTCCATCCATGCGTGAGATGAAAAATAAAGAAAGTAAAACTCCTAGAGAAGTATTTGAGGAAGAACATAAGACATTAGTTAAAGAAGGTGAAAATTCGATGAAGGGGAGTGCTACATCATGCTCGGTTGTTGCTGCACTCATAATCACCATAGCATTTGCCGCCGCTTTCACTGTACCAGGAGGAGGCACCAACACTAAAGGACCGGCTTTTATTATTTTCGCCATATCAGATGCGCTTGCATTCGTTTCTTCCACTGCTTCAGTGTTAATGTTCTTGGGAATCCTTACTATGCGTTACTCGCCAGATGATTTTTTGAAGTCCTTGCCAGAGAAGTATCGGCCAAATCACCTTGTTCTTTTCTATTGCAAGCATGATGGTAGCCTATGGTGCAACGTTCTACATCAATTGCACTCATCAATGGAAATGGACTATCTTCCCAATTTCCCTTCTTACTAGTCTCCCAGTGACCTTATTTGCAATGGTGCAGTTTCCTCTCTTGTTTGAAATGATCTCTTCCACTTATGGACCTAGTATTTTTCCATCAAAGGAAGGAATAGGGAAGTAATTCTCTCTCTCTCTCTCTCTCTCTCTAGATATATATAACAACAAGTTAATTGTTCCTCGTTTAATAAAATAAATTCGACTTTGTATCAAAATTTGACTTCTGTTTTATAATAAATTCATTTATTAGCTCCTATTTAATTAATTTTTATACAGTACTTCAGTAACAAAATGAAAATCAGATTAATTAAAGCATTAATTGTAATGAAAATATATGGAGAAGGAAAAATGGGAGGTTTTGCTAGGCAAGGTCAGTGATTTTTCTCATTCTCTATAGATTGATCAATATGTCAACACATGTAAAATTCTCAAGTGGGTATCTAAAAATATCCGAATTTAAGATCTAGACTTAAACTACAGTTACACGCAAGATTCATTGTTAAAAAGACAAAACTATTCGTATAAACTCACATGCAAGAGTTGATCATTGTTAATATAATTAAGATTTGAGTAATGTTAAACACACAAAAAAATCTTATAAATGTTTATGTATAAAGTGATGTGTCAAGAAATGAACGAAAAAGTAAATAAACTCATCATATTCACTCTTCCTTTTATTTCCTATAACATTTTTATCGTTTAGTATTATTGTTAAAGATTAAATATCCCAATTCAAAAATCAGAGCTATTGTTAAAATATATATGGAAGTGCTGACCAGATCAAACAGTGCATTTTTAACTAGGACTATATAAAGTCTTCCATTTAATTTATTGTGTGGACAAAACAAATGGGAAGAGAGTGGCCGGCGTTACGTTGACAAGCAAAGAAGCCTTAACCATACGCCCATACAGAAGGGATAAGATTATCTCTTGCCTTTTCTAGCAGTTCTATTGTTTAATTTGTCGCTTAATTTAATTTTCTACCACAACATTTCTATCAAACTTTGGAATTCAATTTGCAAAATTTCTAGAAAGAGAATTTATTTACTTGGGATAACTTAAAAGATCTAGTTGAGTTGATTTTTATTTTTTTCTAAATTCCTCATAAAGCAAGATATAAATCCAAGGTCTAATATTCATTGTATTCTATTTTTTTTATTGGTAATAGTTACTTACAGTTAGATAACTGGATGATGTAAAGTTATATAAACTCTACATATCCGGCATTGTACGAAAATAGAAATCCACAAATTCCATTAATTAATTAATCAGAAAATTTCATAGCTCGGAGAACTACAAGAAGGCAGAGAATTAATATGATAAGAAGAAATTAACAATTTATAATTTCTTGGCAATCTTAGCCAGTGCCACCAAGAATACCCTTAAGCTTCTTCACAGTAGCATCGTCAAGGAATGTAGTCTGCTCCACCAAAGAAGAAGCTAAGTTGTTACCAAACAATGCAAAATCAAGAATTTGTAGTCCAGGGTCCGGATTGTTAAAGCTCACAACAGCAATTTTGATAAGACCAAGCAATTAACTTCATGTTAACATAGTTTTTTGTGCTGTCCAACTTGTATTGTAGAGAATTGACAGTCTGATTTTTGGAACAATAAGATGATTTGTACATGATTAACAGATAATGGAATTTATAGATTAACAAAAACAGAGAGCTAATCATGGTTTTGTAACTGCCCTTAGTCTTTTCCATTTCTTATTCTTTGTCTTCAGTAGCTAAATATGGTTTTGTAACAGCAGATGAAATATTATGCAGAAAATTGTTTGTAATTTGCATAATAAACTGATACTACAGAGCCAAAAAACAGAGTTTGTGTGATTCTGTCTGCAGGTTTTTTATTCTGGATTTTCTGGAATTACTTAAGACTGATATCGTCAAATTGTTTTATTAAAAGCGAAGAGAACTCCAAATAGCCTACAAATTACGGAATTAACCACAGGGAAAATACCAAAAGACTTCTTCACAGACAACTGAAGTTCCGAATTTGGCATAATTTAGATACTTCAGAAGTCCACTAATTTCCTAGTATAGAAATTTTGTATAGGGAAGGGCAAGCGGCTAGCCGGTTTAGCTCTTTGAAGATAGAATGTAATTATATATCTAATTCTTTATAACAAAGATAAATTAAATAAGCAGAAAACATAAATATTTAGCCAGTCTTTATTTTTGTTTTTGTTTTTTATGTAATCTCTTTATAAATGAATTGTTTTTTTTATTTTTTTTTATTTTGTCCATTTTGCCTGGAAATGTTCCTTGTTATCTGAATTCCCAACACTTTCTAGTTTTAAAAGAATAGAATTTCAACTTTGATTGCTAGTTAAGAAATGAACTAATGCCAATACAAAAAATTGGTACATAAATATTCTGTTTGCAAACGGAAAAAATGGTACAAATTCATGAAAGCTTAACCCACATATGCAATTGGCATCACGTTTTAATCCTATCTTAAAGCATTACAGCTTAAAGATATAACATATTTACGAACACTAGACATTGATTTGTTAAAGCAAAAGCAAAATGAGGGCGAAAGCAAAGCCGTAGAGATAAAGAACAAAGTAAAAACAAAGAACAATATCATAAAAGTGAAAAGAACATCCCTTGTTTTCACTCAAAGAACAATAAAAAATTTCAAAAGTTTCATTTCGAGGGGAACTGGGGAAGGTATTACTTTGCAACAACTCAAATTATTGATCACATTTCTTAATTAACGCCGGGGGAGGCCTCAATAAATACAGATTATAACATATGTATGTTTATTAATTTCTCCTTAAAGATCGAGTCTTAAAACTTGTTTTCCTCCTTATATTTCTTTCCTTGGCTTTCAAGTGTTGGAAACTGTCATTATATTTTCAAATTTTGGAAGGATACAAAGAGAGGGAAGAAAAAATAATTTGCATGGAGCAAAAGGTGAGTGATGAAGGTGAAGTGCTGGAGCCTGTTCAACCTAACAGCTTTATCAGAAATGAAGAGTCCAGTAGTAGGAGTCATGACCCTCCAAAGACAGAAAGTAAGTTAAATTCTGATAGTATCATTTAATTAATTACAGTATTTGTGTCTTACAAACCTTTCTCGTGTTTAATTTCTTCTTAGACCCAAACATTACTTAAATTTATTGGATATGGGCGTATTTTAGTTAATGAACCCATGGCTAATAGTATTTATGTCTTACTTTCTCATGTTGAAGTGGTCATATAATTTGCAATTAACAATGAACCCAATAAGTGAGGATCATGTTTAAGTACTGGAAATTATGCAAGGCTATTCAACAAAATGATTGAAAAGGTGTAGAAGATTTCGTGACAAAATGATTGAACTGGTAAAATCTTTTATCGGTTCTGGTCTCTATAGTAAGTGTCGTTGCCATATATATTCCATATTAGTTAGATAACATTCAATTGTCAACGTAAACTCTGAAAGCATTTGTCAATAATTATGTTACCTCAACTCCATTTACAGGTTCAGCTTTTGATTTATTTAAGAAATATCCAAACTTAGTAACTGAAAATGAGGATTGAGGAAGTATACTAGAAGAGCTAGCTTATAAGCCACTGGCATTTGAAAGTGGTAGTCGGTTTGGATATTGGCTACGTTTAATCTATCATTGTATATGTGCTACTCTTTAGCTACTTTGTATATGGAATCTATCACTAGACAGTATGTCAAAATTAACAGCGCTTGCATGTTTTTGTAGGGATTCCTGTGCAGGAAGAACATATTCATTATCCCACAATTGTGCTTAGAGACACGGAGAGTCAAATTGAGACTTTAAAGAAGTTCAAAAAATTCACTTATTTTATTGTCGACAAATCTCTACTATATCTGGTTTGTGGATCACCTCCCATATCTAATTTTATTTAATGATCCATCTTTTAAATTCTATTACTTATAATACTAACTAAAAGATGCTATTTGTTTTATATCATAGCTGCCTTGTGCCAAAAGTTTCACATTTTGCTGTGGAATGCCCTCATTAATCTAGGCATATNTACTTTCTATATGGAATCTATCACTAGACAGTATGTCAAAATTAACAGCGCTTGCATGTTTTTGTAGGGATTCCTGTGCAGGAAGAACATATTCATTATCCCACAACTGTGCTTAGAGACACAGAGAGTCAAATTGAGACTTTAAAGAAGTTCAAAAAATTCACTTATTTTGGATCTATTAGTCGACAAATCTCTACTATATCTGGTTTGTAGATCACCTCCCATATCTAATTTTATTTAATGATCCATCTTTTAAATTCTATTACTTATAATACTAACTAAAAGATGCTATTTGTTTTATATCACAGCTGCCTTGTGCCAAAAGTTTCACATTTTGCTGTGGAATGCCCTCATTAATCTAGGTATATGTTCAACTATTTCTAATTAGAATGAGTACTTTAAAGACATATTTCTTCTGCTGACTTGAGTTGAATTACAGTTCCAGGCATCAAATACATAAGTGATATAAAGTTGATGCACATTCAAACCCTTGAAATAGTTTGAATGATGTGCCATGAGGGAGTTATATGGATTAATGCTGAAGCCTCGAAGTCATTGGCTACTCCAATTTTAACAGCCACAAGATTCGGGATTTGCGAGATTGCACGCGAAATTTTCAATGCCTATTTCTATTCTTGTTTTTTTGAATAATTAACATGTTATTTCATGTTCAGGCTGCGGAAAGTTATGTCCATTCATCCTTTCAAGATCAAAAAAATTCATTCAATAAAACTCCTAGAGAAGTGTTTACAGAAGAACACAAGGATTTAGTTAAAGAAGGTGAAAAATGGATGAAGGGTACTGCTTCATCATGCACTCTTGTAGCAGCACTGATAATCACAGTAGTGTTTGCAGCAGCTTTTACTCTACCAGGGGGCATCAATAATGACAGCATACCCAATTTCTTGCACGAAATACCTTTCATAGTCTTTGCTATATCAGATGAGCTTGCACTCTTTTCTTCTACAGCATCAATGCTAACGTTCTTGAGAATCCTCACTTCAAGTTACTCAGAAGATGATTTTTTGGAGTCATCGCCAAAGAAGTTAATGGTTGGCCTTATGACCTTGTTCTTTTCAATTGCAAGCATGATGGTAGCGTTTGGTGCAACATATTACATAGTTCTTTCAAACCCATGGAAATGGGTTATCATTCCAATTGCCTCACTTGGTTGTCTCCCAATAATGTTATTTGCAATTTTGCATGGTTGCAGTTTCCTTTCTTGGTCGATATATTTATATCCACTTATAGGCCTACTATTCGCTTCAACCGCAATCAAGCAATTGAGGATGTATGACCATGTAATTATATCTTCAGGAGCTAAAAAAAGGTCTTTCTTGTCTAACTATATAGTCATTATCAGTTTCAATTTCTTCTTATATTTATTGTAAATAACACATTAATTTGATAGATATTATAAACTTGATAGAAACGTTGAACTGAAAGCAGAACAAAACCAGAGCACCACATTACAACCAAACAGAGCAGCCTAGTCCTTTAGCTAGAATTTTAAATTTAATGGTTTAAATTTATACCTCATCTTTGCATAAAGCAGTATTGGTTTCAAATTTCATTCATTTTAAGCAATTATTTGACTTTATCTTTGAAAATTAATATAAACAAAAACCAGAAATCGTTGGAAAATGAGCTTTTAGATCAAGACTAATTAGGAGGAATTGAGAAGAGAAGTGTTTTGGAAGACAAGATTACTATTGCTTCTCAAATTTGGCTTGTACAGAATGGTTGGGTATCACCCCTTTTTATAGCGCTCAAGGGCCTAGTTAGTAAATCACAAATAAAATGCAAATTATATGCCCAGCTGTATAATTCGCTTTATCATTTGCAAATTTCCATATGTAATCAACACATCTGTATCATTTGCGAACTATATGCCTTAGACGTTTTATTGGCAAATTATTCTCGTATCTGAATTATTCTCAAATTTTTACAAACATATATTTCACCATTCGTCATATCATGCCCATAAAATTCTTGTACCTTTTTTTTTCGTACCCGTATCTACTAATTAGGGTGAGTTTTTGTTATAGACTATAATTTGAATCTTGGTTGTATAATTTATTTATTTTATTTGTTTGGAGCTCTAGTTTAACTTTGAATTTAGGTTTTGTTATGTGTTTGATTTGAGACAATGACTGAATCTTGGCTATATATTGTGTTTAAGTCTGGAGACTATAATTTGAATCTCAGTTATATATTGCGTTGTATTATTGGACCTAATGGTTATTGGTTAATTGAATACTTTGCATTTGAAATGCTATATTGATTTTAACTAGGTGGTCCATGAAAAGTGCTAAAACCAGGATTGATATTATTGTATTTTTCAAAACATATTGTTGACAATGTACCGTATTAAACCCGTATATACCCATACCGTATTTTTTCGCATCAGAATTTTATGGCCGAATTTTTACAACCTTAATTTTTGGCCATTTGTCGTATCATACCTATAAAATTCTCGTATCCTTTTTTTTGCTGTACTCGTATTTACTAACTAGGCTCAAGGGAGTCTTCTACACTCCAACTCCTAACTACCACATACCTTAATAAATATTATCTATCATATTCTATAATTAATAGCTACCTCACAACTTTCTAATAAATGAGATATTTTTACAAGATATTTCTAGTCACAAGGCCTATTATTTAGGCTAAATACATGGGTCAAATATGGGCTTTACATTGGGCTTAGAAAGAATATTAAGCTAACAATTTATATGGGTCGAAGTGATAAACCCAAATAGTCTTGGCCGAAATAAGTTTAATGTTCAACATAAATGGCTTTGGATGATCTTAGGATATAGAATAAATGGACATCAAACTAATAAATCTAATACTATTTAAATTCGATGTGACTCATCCAGTTTAGGAATTAGGATATATAACCACTGACTTCAAGCCGAAGTTCATAATCTTCAGAAGATTTAATCAAGACTTCTTTATTTTCACGTGATATTGGTGTTCCACCAGAAGTTTGATCTTCACAACAAACTGATCCTTACTTAAATTCGGTTTTGAAGTTGAAGTTTTCTCCCTTTTTCTCCTCTTTTGTAAAGAACGAAAGAGATGATCCTTATACCAGGGTAATATATATTTGTGAAACCAATTTATCCACCAGAAAAGCCAGCTAGAGAGCAGCGTATTGGAGTACATGCAGGTAGAAAAATAGCATAAATCATCAAAAGATAAAACATAGAGAACTAATTATGGAATAAAGTACAAATAGCACTATGTTTCTTTGGTTATTTCATTCTTTAACTATCTTTTCCCTTTTTCTTTTTCTTTTTCTTTTTGGTTTTCTTCAATTTGTAGGGACGAGTTCCTGATTATCCGAATTCCATTTGTCTAACAGATCCCCCCACACTGACTGTTTGTAGAAAAAGAAAATTGCAACTTTGATTGTGACAGAAGAAATGAACCGATGCAAACCATTAAGAAGAAGATTCATTAGTTCATTAATTAATGAAATAGTATATCGCTATGTTTCTGGAAAATCTGGAAGGAAAATGAAAAGGCAAATTTGGAGAAAAAGGAATTATATATGAAAGTTGATGAAAGGCTTCATGGCTGCATATATATATGTATATATCGTTGGGCAAAAGCTCACCAATTAAGAACAAATACTATAATTGAATTAAGCAAATATAAGAGGGAAAAAAGAACAAAAAGAATTTGATTGTTGAGCTGTGTAGATTAATCTACTGAAAAGCTACAGAGTTAAAGAAACTTCAAAATCTTTTACAACAAGGTCTAATTAAATATTGTAAAAATGGCTCTTTAAGTACTGATTTTAACAGAAATTCATTAGTTTGTCATTGACACCTATTGAAACTTGTCTTCCCCTTGGTTTTGTTCCTCCGTTTCTGAATCTTGGACTTTGATTGTTGCAATACAAAGAGAGGAAATCACTTACATGGAGCAAACAGTCAGCAATGAAATAAAGTCCAGCGGTGAAGCTGAACCCAGTAGCAGCAGTCATGGCCCTCCGAGGAGAGAAGGTAAGTTAAATACATACAAACACACACACGCGCGCACGCACACAGAGGATCAAGGATTGACCAAGTAAGTGTATAATGCGGTTGAGCACGCGCACACGTGCGCACACGTGCGCACACACACACACATACACACACACACACACACATATATATATATGACTTAGGGGTCTGGACAATCTTCCACGTATCTCAATCAATCTTTCGAAGCCTTGGAACTATCGACTGGGCATACACACACACACACATATATATGGGGTCCGGGTCAGTTTACGCGTATCTCAATTATTCTCCCGAGGCCTTGGAACTGCTAGCAGAGTAGGAGTCTCAATGACCACTCCTATTAGTGTCTAAGAGGACTTAAACTTAGAAGCTTATGAATCTTTTTTTGTTCTTTTACTATATATATATATATATATATATATATATAAGTCGATTGCTTCTAAAACCCTATAATCTTTGGGAAACAGGAAACGACGACTTTTGAACTTTATCTTGTGATACACTGATAGTATTTTAGTATTAAGCATCCTTTAAATTCTTATACTCATTCAATAACTAATAGTATTTTGTGTCTTAACAATTCACAATTAACAGTTAATCCATCGAGGGCGGACATTGAGGATCATGTTCGTTGCTGGAAACTATTCAAGGCTATACGGCAAAATGATTGGAAAGGTGTGGCAGATTTCATACGCCTAAATCCCGCTGCCTTGACCGAACCGATTAAAGTATTTGAGATGGAAACGGTTTTTCACGTAATCAGTCGAGAGTTAAGTGCCCCCTCTTGGCTTATCAAGAAGCTCGTATCAGGTGTCCCTCCAGACACACTAGAACAGTTGACAGATAAAGACAACGAATCGGCCTTATTCATGGCTTCTATATACGGCAATAGAAAGGCTGCAGAAGCCTTTGTGAAGTGGAATTATCATTTGCCAAACAGGAGGAACCGCTCTGGTTTACTTCCAATTCACACAGCAGCAAAATATGGCCACAAGGAGATAATTCAATATTTNCTTCCCCTTGGTTTTGTTCCTTCGTTTTTTGAATCTTGGATTTGACTGTCACAATACAAAGATAGGAAATCACTTACATGGAGCAAACGGTCAGCAATGAAATAAAGTCCAGCGGTGAAGCTGAACCCAGTAGCAGCAGTCATGGCCCTCCGAAGAGAGAAAGTAAGTTAAATACACACACACACACATATATATACATATAGTAAGAGTCCGAATGACCATGATTATTAGTGTCCTGAGAAATTAATGAATCTCCTTTTGTTCTTTTACTGTATATATAAAAGTCGATTGCTTCTAAAAGCCTATATATAGTATTTTAGCATTAAGTATCCTTTAAATGCTTACGCTCATTCAATAACTAATAGTATTTTGTGTCTAACATTTACAACTAACAGTTAATCCATCGAGGGCGGAGATTGAGGATCATGTTCGTTGCTGGAAACTATTCAAGGCTATACGGCAAAATGATTGGAAAGGTGTAGAAGATTTCATACTCCTAAATCCCACTGCCTTGACCAAACCGATTAAAGTATTTGAATTGGAAACGGTTTTTCACGTAATCAGTAGAGAGTTAAGTGCCCCCTCTTGGCTTATCGAGAAGCTCGTATCAGGTGTCCCTCCACACACACTAGAACAGTTGACAGATGAAGACGGCGAATCCGCTTTATTCATGGCTTCTTTATACGGCAATAGAAAGGCTGCAGAAGCCTTTGTGGGGTGGAATTATCATTTGCCAAACAGGACGAACCGCGTTGGTTTACTTCCAATTCACACAGCAGCAAAATATGGCCACAAGGAGATAATTCAATATTTACTGAAAGTGACAACTGCTCCCCTGGATGACGACAATGGCGTTCAACTGCTTATAGATTTAATCACGTCTGGTCACTATGGTAAATGCAATCCTTATAGATTATAAATTAGGCAATTTACATAACATCCAATATTTGTCAACTACATTTACAGGTGCAGCTTTTGATTTATTGAAGAAATATCCAGACTTAGTTTCTAAAACAGAGGACAGAGGAAGAGTTTTAGAAGCGCTGGCTAATAAGCCACTGGCATTTGCAAGTGGTAGTCAGTTGGGATATTTGCAACAGTTAATCTATCATTGTACGCTACTCTCTATCATCTTCTTTTGTTCTTTATCTTTAGTTTTTATTATTAATAATCTATTATAATTGAGGAATTTCAGAAATCGTGGCTAATAAGCTTTTGCATCACTTTGCAGGTATTCCTGTGCAAGAAGAACACATATATTTCCCAGGAAGTGTGGTTAGAGATGTAGAAAATCAATATGAGAATTCAAAGAACTCTAAGAGATTCTCTTTTTTTGGATGTATCCGTCGACATATCTTTCCTGCATTTGGTTTGTGGATCATCTCCCATCTAAATTTATTTATTAGTTGAATTAATAAATTTATTCCTCTTTTCAATTCTATTAACTTACGATTCTAATTAGAAACTGTATTTTTTTTTTTTTTTGTTGGTTATATCACAGCTGTTGTGTGCATGAAATTACACCTATGCTTTGGCATGCCATTATGCTCTCTAGGTAAATTTAAGCATTCAACAATTTCTAATTAGAATGAGCACTTTAAAGAGAAACATTCTTTGTTGAATTGGTGAATTACAGTTCCAGGAATCAAACTCATCCGGATATAAAGTTAATGCACAAGCAAACGAGAAATTGTTAGATTGATGTGTCATGAGGGAGTTATTTGGAGTACTGATGAGCCTTGAAGTCATTAAGAGTCCCAATTCTTACAGCCGCAAGATTGGGGATCTACGAGATTGTTCGTGAAATTCTGGACGCCTATTACTATTCTTACTGCTTTTGGGACGAAAATGGTCTGCTATTTTCATTTGCAATAATACATCGCCAGATAAAGTCTTTAGTCTCCTAAATAAATTGGACTTATTTTTGTGGGAGTGGAAAGCAGCCAGCAGGTTGAAAAAACTGACAACTATTGCATTTGACTGGAAGGTTGGTACCTTCAGATCAAGTCCCTGGAGCCGCATTACAGATGCAAAAGGAACTAAAATGGTTCAAGGTGATATATCTTCTTTATATAGCTTGCACTAACCGTGCAATAATCACAAGATTAAAGCTATTTATATTTGTGGTGTTGTTTTATTTTATGCTTATACTTACCATTGTTGTAATTTTGTTCTCAGGCTGTGTAAAAGTTTGTGCATCCATCCCTCCAGAACAACGAAATGGATCCGATAAAACTCCTAAAGAAGTGTTTACCAAAGAACATAAGAAATTGGTTAAAGAAGGTGAAAAATGGATGAAGGAGACTGCTTCATCCTGCATTGTGGCAGCTGCACTCAAATCACTGTAGTGTTTGCTGCAGCTTCACTTTACCAGGGGGAATGACAATGACGGGACCCCTAATTTTTTGTCTAAGAAATCGTTCAAAGCCTTTATCATATTCGATGCGCTTACTTTTTTTCCAGCAGTGCTTCATTGCTGATGTTCATGGGCATCGTCCTTCCCGTTATTCAGAAGAAGATTTTCTGGAGTACTTGCCAAAGAATTTTATTATGGGCCACATCGCTTTACTTCTCTCTGTTATATGCATGATGATAGCCTTTGGTGAAACCATGTTCATGATCCTTTCTCACAAATGTTTACCACTTATCTACCAATATCCTTGTTGGTTGCCTCACAATGATCTTATTTTCAAGGCTGCAGTTTCCCCCTTTTGATTGAAATGTTTTTATCCACTTATGGACGTAGCATGTTTACCAATACAGTAATGAATAATGTAACTCTCTTTATGTATACATATGCAATGTTCTTATTTCTATTAAGTTACAATTTCTATGTTTTTTCTTTAATTCAATAGACTTGTTTCTGAAGCTAACTACGTATATTGTATGCAGTTTCTATTGATCACCTCCTTATATAAACTTTGTTGCCGCCAGCCGATAATAGCCAATAGGATAAGTAGTGCACCAAAATTACACCTCCTCAATGGCCAAGGAGATAACAGACCTGGTCATCAACTTTTCAACTCAAAATCCTTTCAAGTTAAAGCCTACATCTTCTGGGAAGGGCACGGGTGAAGTTTTTAATAAAGAAAAAGGTTTGCTTTGTACATGTGTAGGGATTTTGCACGAGGATTTTTTCTTGCAAGGGATTGAAGTTTGGTTAGTTTCGAGTCAATTAGCTTGACCCACTAAAATATGCAGTTGTGGGTAAATGTGAAAGGAAGCTTGTGTTATCCATATAAACTTTCTATATTAATTTAACAATCACTGTCGTCTTTGCAGCAGCTTTCACTGTACCAGGTGGTAACAAAGAGGGTGAGATAGCCATTGCGCTTGCGATCTCTTATCTTCCACTGCTTCATTGCCAATGTTCTTGGCCATCCTCACCTCCGTTACTCAGAAACCGATTTAATTTCTGAAGTCCAAATTATGGCGTTCTCACCATATGGTGTGATGGTAGCATTTGGTGCAACCATTTACATAGTTATGTTTCGTCCATGGACCAATTGTCTTGCTTGGTTGTATCCCGGTGACCTTATTTACCTTGTTGCGTTTTCCTCTATTCGTTGAAATTTACTAATCCACTTATACATCAAGCATTTTGCAAGCAATTAAGTAAATTAAGGATGTAATTCTCATACAGAGACGATTTGTCCTTGAACTAAATAGGGCTGGTAAATATTAACTCCACTCTTTAAATATGATTATTGGTGTGCATATACTTACTCTTCTTGGGTCTTTCCTTTTTTCTTTTTTTTAAATATGATTAGGAAAGGTAAACTGTCAGAAAAACAGAGTACAATAATACTGTTTTCTAAATAACAGGTGTTGTTCGATAAAGGTTTAGTTTGAAATTTTTATACCTTCTATACTCTCATATAAAACTAAAAAATATTATCAGTAGTTTCATCATGCGGCCAGACACGACGATGGTCTGCTACCATATCTGGGGGTACGTTCTGCAAAGTGGACTCTATCAAGATTGTCTTTCAACAATCTATTACTTTCCTGACTAATTTTGCAACATATAACAAGATATATGCAAAACTAGTCAAGAATTGATAAATGGAAAACATGTATTTACTTGTAAGACTTTTAGTATCCTATTATATGTTGGAAGAGGAGCTTTTAGCTCAATACCAATTAAGAGGAATTGAGAAAAGAAGTGTTTTGGAAGAGAGGTCACAAATTTTTGCTTGTACAAAATGGCTAAAGGTCACCCCCTTCATAACTAATATCTACCCAAATAAATATCATCTATCACTTTCCATAATTAATAACTACATAACGGCTCACTAATAAATAAGATATTGTTATAAGATCTTTCCAAGTATAAAGTCTATTATGTTTGGGTTAGATATATGAGTTAAATATAGGTTTTACTTGGGCTTAGGAAGAAATATTAAACTAGCAATCTATAAGCCTGTTTAATTGATAGACCCAGATATTATTAGGCTCAAATCAAGTTTAATATTCAACAGTATTCGGCTTCGGCATGCTCTTCGCCCTATATTTTTTTCCCTTCGCTTTCCAAGTATGCAGGATGATGAGTATTAATAATGTCTTATATATTTACAAAAGTTTTCATTCAAGTATTTCGATTCCAAGTAATCTATCAACTTCTCTGGTCTTTTGCGTTTTTCAATTTTTGTCTTCCCTAGCTAATCATGGTTTTGAAACTGCAGATAAATAATATTAATTTAAGGTCTTAAAAGATATAAATTTAAGGTCTAATATTAATTGTATTTACTTTCTATCTAAATCTACGGCCACTTGACCCCATGACTCCGTCTACGGCCATTAGAGGGCCTGCTAGAGGCTAGCCGGTTGCGTTCTTTGAAGAAAAAAAAAAATTATATATTTATATATCTAATTTTGTATAGTGAAATCAAATTAGGCATAATATATAAATATTAATTAAGACTTGTATTTTTTTTCTGTCAAAGTCTATCTACATATAATCTCTTTATAAATTTATAATAACTTGTTTGTTACCAATACATGACACTTTGTCGAATTTCTAGTTCAGCAAATAATTTCAGGTAATACTATCTCTTAAATAAGATTCTACCTATTTTGTATTTTCATATGCTGTTAGCTAATCCTTTTACATTTTGTTGATAAGGTTAATAATTGTGATTTCATATTTTATTTTTTTCTATGATTAAAAGTGTTCGAACCAACTTATGAGCGTTTTAATTAATCCCTTAGAACTTTAAAACTACTGATTGAATAAAAGCTCTAGTTGCTATCTCTATTAGTAATCGAGGAGGGATTCAAACTTATGACCTCTTAAGTAACACATCAAAGAGTTTCTATTAAACCACTCAACCACCGAGAGGTAGTTAATTATTTCGTATTATTGCTTTCTAATTGAAATATTGAGATTACTATGTATACAGTATACACTCGGCTCTTTTTTGCAACATTTAACAATATATCAACAACAAAACAATCCCAAAAGTAACAATATATATATATATATATATATATAGAGAGAGAGAGAGAGAGAGAGAGAGAGAGAGAGAGAGAGAGAGAGAGAGAGAGAGAGCTTCTGGAATTGTTATATTAACGTATCTTCTCCTTTTATTTTATTTGCTAGCTTTTTCTGCCGTCCAGTTTGTGGGGACATATTCATAGTTACTTGAATTCCTAACGTAATCTTTAGTTTAAAAGAGAATTGCAACTTTGATTGTTAACTAAGATATGAATAGATGCATTAAAAATTTTCATGTAATTGATGGAAATTGTACTGAGCTTGTATGTTAAAAAAAAATGGAGGGATATTTTCACATAAATTGATGATCACATGAAAAAGATGGTATAAATTATTGAAAGCTTAACCAACAGATGCAAATGGCATCTCATATGCAAATTACTCTGATGCGTGTGATCTGCGATTTGGCCACGCGATCGGAGAACTTTGATGCGTGCAATCTGTGATCTAGCCATGCGATCGGAGAGCTCTGATACGTGAGATCTGCGATCTGACCACGCAATCGAAGAACTCTGATGCGTGCGATCTGTAATCTAGCCACGCCATCTAGGTGATTTGACGCATGCGATCTGCGATCTGACCACGCGATCTGAAAACTTTGATGCGTGCAATCTACAATCCGACCACGCGATCGGAAAACTCTAATGCCTGCGATCTGACCACGCAATCTGAGAACTCTGATGCGTGCGATTTGTGATCTGGCCACGTGATCAAAGAACTCTGATGTGTATGATCTGCGATCTGGCCACGTGATCTAAGAACTCTGATGCATGCGATTTGCGATCTGACCACGCGATAGGAGAACTCTGATGCATGTGATCTGCGATCTGACCATGCGATGTGAGAACTCTGATGTGTGCAATCTGCGATCTGGCCACACAATCATAGAACTCTAATGCATGCAATCTGCGATCTGACCACACGATCCAAGAGCTCTAATGCGTGTGATCTGCGATCTGGTCACACAATCTAAGGGCTCTGATGCATGTGGTTTGTGATCTGACCAAGCCATTGGGGAGCTTGGGCGCAGGTTCGAGACTTGCATGGGCCACCAAACTATTGATGCTTGATTTTGACACCAACGACTCGTACGTGCAAAGTGCTAAGAAAGTCTTAGAAATTACACTTGATAGATTCATGAGATTTGAATATGGTGCTGAGAGTATATATGTTTGCAGAAAACATAAATAAAAGATTGGCAAGAGAGATTTTTAAAGTGGTTCAGATGCTTAAAACAAATCTTACACTAACTGTTATTTTGCTATTCTCTGGCTATTTATCTGATATTGCCCATAAGGCATACAAAGATAGAGAAAAACTTTGTTTACAGAGAAAGATAATAAAGCTCAAATCTATGTCTAACTCTCATATGTCCAACCTCTTTTTTTCATAAAAAGAGGTGTCATTTATACACCTTTGAGGTCAATGTCATGAGTGTTTTACAAGTTGTCTTGATACATAGAGAGCTCTCATCCGTCTATCTCTTAAAATGAGATAAGATTGATATAAATATCTTTGAAGCAGTATGGGTTTGACAGTTAATACATTCTATCTTTTAGGCACTTATTAAGCTGACATCAGCTTGACATTTTAGGCCTAACATATGAAATTGTACAAACCGTAACAGAGAAGTACAATGAAGGGCAAAGCAAAGCCACAGAGATAAGATCCAACAAAAAGTGACAAATAAAAACTCAAATTAATTATGTCGGGGAAACAAATAAAAAAATTCCAAAAGATTTACGTCGGGGGAAGTAAGGAATTGCCTTCCCGCGACTCAAATTAATTATTCCAATTCTTCTTTACGAATTGGATGAGGCGTTGCCGTATTGCCTTATATATACTTGAAAACCGGTGCAATGTTTCACCAAAATTTTTCTCTGATCAGCGATCACTTGACCAGCAAAAGTACTTAAAGACAAGATGACAGACAGGGAACCTCCTGAGAATTTAGAAGGTAATTTTATTAGTTGGTTTTTCTTATTCTATACTTTACTGATGATTTAATGTCTAACATATCTAACACTTTATATGTTAAGACAAAATGACAGGCATGGAACGTCCTAAGAATTCAGAAGATAATTTTATTCATTGGTTTTTCTCATTCTATACTTTATTGATGATTTAATGTCTAATATAGCTAACACTTTATATGTTACGACAAAATGACAGACATAGAACTTCCTGAGAATTCAGAAGATAATTTTATTTATTGGTTTTTCTCATTCCATACTTTACTGGTGATTTAATGTCTAATATAGCTAACACTTTATATGTTAAGGCAAAATGACAGACAGGGAACTTCCTATGAATTCAGAAGGTAATTTTATTAATTGGTTTTTCTCATTCTATACTATACTGATGATTTAATGTCTAATATAGCTAACACTTTATATGTTAAGATAAAATGACAGGCGAGGAAAGTCCTGGGGATTCAGAAGGTAATTTTATTAATTGGCTTTTCTCATTCTCTGCTTTACTGATGATTTAATGTCTAATATAGCAAACACTTTATATGTTACGACAAAATGACAGACATAGAACTTCCTGAGAATTCAGAAGGTAATTTTATTTATTGGTTTTTCTCATTCTATACTTACTGGTGATTTAATGTCTAATATAGCTGGCAATTTATATTACCTACTTTCTCAATATATGCAGAATGGATGAAGAAATGTAAAGCGGCTACAGAATTTGATGAGGAGAAGTTTGTTCATTACAGGCCACTACGCAGAGCTATACAACAGAATGATTGGAAAGCTATTGGAGAATTCATTAGACATAATCACCCGCAGGTGTTCACGGACAAGATTTCCGAATTGTCTGCAAACTTTTTCCACTTAATTGTACGATCGGATAATGACGCCGCAATTTCATTGTTGCGAGAGAATGCACCGAAGTTTGCAGAATCTGTATTGGCAAAAGATGCTGATGGCAGGACGGTTTTATACAAGGCAGCAGCCTTGGGCAATAAAAAGGCTGTAGAAACCATTGTGAATTCTTTCCCTGATTTACCAAATACAACTTCAACTGCGGACGATGAGCTTTCAATTCATGTAGCAGCAAGCTTTGGACACGAGGAAATAGTTCAATTTCTACTTCCACGCACTAGATTACAAATAGAAAAAACAGAGTACAAATATCAGCTGGTTACATGTCTGATCGAATCTAATCTATTGGGTTAGTGCAATATAAACCTTAAATATGCGGGATCTATTTTTTCACTTACAATTGTTTAATTTATTAATTATATGGTATAGTCGTATAGATGACCCTTTTGGCTTCTTTCACAATACATTGTTGTGCTCGCTCTGATTTTAGTCTCTTCATGCACAGGTATAGCTCTTCGTTTATTGAAGAACCAACTGCGCGATCGTGTTTTGAATCGTGTTTTGAATCCAAAGCAAAAAGAGGAGATTTTAAAAATGCTGGCTAAAAAGCCTAAGCGGTTTAAGAGTGGGTGTCGGCTTGGATTTTTGCAACGCTTAACCTATAATTGTTAGTATCAAATAATCCCTGCTATCTTTCACTTTGTTAAATCACATGTCTAATGCACCCACATATCACATAATCTTCTCATTATAGTCTAGGATTATTTAAAAAAAAAAAAAAAAAGGTTTTTAATTTCTATGACCATATGTCATCAATCCTTGAAATCTGAGGACGGTTCAGATTAAAAAGTCAAGGATATTTCCATCCAAATACATAAGCCATCTGTTATCTTACAGTTTATTGTTGAAGAAATTACTTTTGAGTTTCAGAATTACACTAGTAGTGTTAAAGTCATAGGAAACCTTATCCTGAAGTTGAACTTGTATCCAACATAAAGATGCCTAAATTTCTCACGTGTATGTATTTTGCAGGCATTCCAGTGAAAGATGATAATATGCCTTCCCCTCAGGCCGAAAAGACCGATTTCCAAAACCCTGGAAGCGTAGATGGAGACATGGAAAACCCCAGACAGATATCTGAGATATCTGCAAGTACGTTTAATAGTAAATATCTCCAATAGTTTTTCATTTCACAATCTTCCATCTATAGACCACGATAATTGACCTTGTAAAGTCAACACTCAAAGCTATTTGTCTATATATATCAGGTGGAATGCGCCAAAAATTGAACTCTATGTTCTGGAATGTCCTCATGCGGCTAGGTAAGGATTTTAATGGTTGTGTGAATTCATTTCACCGGTTCTTTAAATAAAATTAATCTTCATTTATAGACTTGAGTTCAATATATATATACAGCCCCATGCATCAAACGCATACACGATGAAAAGTTAAATCACATGCAAGCGCTTGAAATTGTAAGAACAGTGTGTGGGGAAGTTGTTTGGGACTTTGAAAAAGCTTTAGAGGCATTAAAGCAACCAATCCTCATAGCTACAAGATTGGGGATTTTTGAGATTGTCGATGAAATTTTGAAGGTATATGAAAATGCTTTTTGTTTCGTTGACGAAGATGGGAAAGATGTGCAGCAGCTTGCAGTTTTGCATCGTCATGAAATAGTTTTCCGTATCATATTAAAGGAGTTAGGGAAAAGTTGGGAAGACTCCGTAGACAATGATTTGAACACCGTCCTGCACTTAGCCGGAAAGTCAGCACCTTCAAGTAAAATAGCAGGTTCAGCATTGCAAATGCAGCGGGAGGTGCAATGGTTTAAGGTGATCTATATACATTTGAGTAGTCCTTTTAGAACTAATTAATTAATTAATTTATGTCGTGCCAATCTTCTTGATACTATTTTACAAAAGTTTTTTATGCTTAATAAATTTGAAAAATGTTAAAGAAGAAGAAGAAAAGTATACATTTGATATTGTGTAACATTTATGATTTTATTCAAAACATCAACTAATTAATTTCACTCTTCAAAAGATTTATTATATTCACATAAAGCTTTTTCTGTATTATATTTCCTTAAAAAACTTTTTCACATAATATTCTATATATCTGAAATACTAAACGCATCATTAATTATATGTAAACTTTTTCATCAGGCTGTGGAAAATCTTGTGCCTCCATCCATGCAGGAGATGCAAAATAGTAAGGGTAAAACTCCTATACAAGTGTTTGAGGAAGAACATAAGACATTAGTTAAGGAAGGTGAAAAATGGATGAAGGGGAGTGCTTCATCATGCACGGTTGTTGCTGCACTCATAATCACCATAGTATTTGCCGCCGCTTTCACTATACCAGGAGGCACCAACACTGAAGGACCGGCTTTTATTATTTTCGCCATATCAGATGCGCTTGCATTCGTTTCTTCCATTGCTTCAGTGTTAATGTTCTTGGGAATCCTCACTACACGTTACTCGCCAGATGATTTTTTGAAGTCCTTGCCCGAGAAGTTAATTATCGGCCAAATCACCTTGTTCGTTTCTATTGCAAGCATGATGGTAGCCTATGGTGCAACGTTCTACATCAATTGCACTCATCAATGGAAATGGACTATCTTCCCAATTTTCCTTCTTGGCAGTCTCCCAGTGACCTTATTTGCAATGCTGCAGTCTCATCTCTTGTTTGAAATGATCTCTTCCACTTATGGACCTACTATTTTTCCATCAAAGGAAGAAATACGGATGTAATTCTCTCTCTCTCTCTCTCTCTCTCTCTCTCTAGATGTATATAACAACAAGTTAATTGTTCCTCGTTTAATAAAATAAATTCGACTTTGTATCAAAATTTGACTTCTCTTTTGTAATAAATTCATTTATTAGCTCCTATTTAATTAATTTTTATACAGTACTTAAGTAACAAAATGAAAATCAGATTAGTTAAAGCATTAATTGTAATGAAAATATATGGAGAAGGAAAAATGGGAGGTTTTGCTAGGCAAGGTCAGTGATTTTTCTCATTCTCCATAGATTGATCAATGTGTCAATACATGTAAAATTCTCAAGTAGTGTTGATGCTTGATTTTGGACATCAACGATTCGCACGTGCAAAGTGCTAAGAGAGTCTTAAAAATTACATATGATAGATCCATGAGATTTGAATATGGTGTTAAGATTATATGTGTTGCAGGAAACATAAATAATAGACTGACAAGAGGGGTTTTTATAGTAGTTCGGATGCTTAAAACAAATCCTACATCCACCATTATTTTATTATTCTCTGGCTATTTCCATGATATTGCCCGTAAGGCATACAAAGATAGAGAAATACTTTGTTTACAGAGAGAAATAATGAAGCTCAAATCTATGCCTAGCTCTCATATGCCCAACCTCCCTTTTCGTGAAGAGAAGTGTCAATTTATACACCTTTGATGTCAATGTAATGAGTGCTTTGCAAGTTGCCTTGACACATGGAAGGCTTCTGATCTATTCTTCTTTTAAAATGAGATAGGGTTGGTATAAGATATCTTTGAGGCGGTATGAGCTTAACAGGAATTACAATTTATCTTTTAGGCACTTATTGAGATAACATCAGCGTGACTTTTTAGGTATAACAAGTAGGTATCTAAAAATATCCTAATTTAAGATCTAGACTTAAACTACAGTTACACGCAAGATTTATCTTTCTTCATTGTTAAAAAGACAAAACTAATCGTACAAACTCTTGCATGCAAGAGTTGATCATTGTTAATGTAATTAAGATTTGAGTAATGTTAAACATAAAAAAAAAAAAAAAAAAAAATCTTACAAATGTTTCTATACAAAGTCATGTGTCAAGAAATGAATGGAAGAGTAATAAACTCATCATATTCACTCTTCCTTTTATTTCCTGCCACATTTTTATATGTTTAGTATTGTTGTTAAAGATTAAATATCCCAATTCAAAAATCAGAAGAGAGCTATTGTTAATATATATATATATATATATATATATATATACTGACTAAATCAAACAGTGCATTAGACTGTATAAAGTCTTCCATTTAATTTATTGTGGGGACAAAACAAATGGGAAGAGAGTGGCTAGTGTTATGTTGACATGCAAAGAAGCCTTAACCATACGCCCATACAGAAGGGATAAGATTATCTCTTGCCTTTTCTAGCAGTTCTATTATTTAATTTGTCGCTTAATTTAATTTTCTACCACAACATTTCTGTCGAACTTTGGAATTTAATTTGCAAAATTTCTAGAAGGAGAATTTATTTACTTGGGATAACTTAAAAGATCTAATTGAGTTGATTTTTTATTTTTTTCAATTCCTCATAAAGCAAGATATAAATCCAAGNTCTCTAGATATATATAACAACAAGTTAATTGTTCCTCGTTTAATAAAATAAATTCGACTTTGTATCAAAATTTGACTTCTGTTTTATAATAAATTCATTTATTAGCTCCTATTTAATTAATTTTTATACAGTACTTCAGTAACAAAATGAAAATCAGATTAATTAAAGCATTAATTGTAATGAAAATATATGGAGAAGGAAAAATGGGAGGTTTTGCTAGGCAAGGTCAGTGATTTTTCTCATTCTCTATAGATTGATCAATATGTCAACACATGTAAAATTCTCAAGTGGGTATCTAAAAATATCCGAATTTAAGATCTAGACTTAAACTACAGTTACACGCAAGATTCATTGTTAAAAAGACAAAACTATTTGTATAAACTCTCACATGCAAAAGTTGATCATTGTTAATATAATTAAGATTTGAGTAATGTTAAACATACAAAAAAATCTTGCAAATATTCTGTATAAAATAATGTATCAAGAAATGAATGAAAGAGTAAATAAACTCATCATATTCACTCTTCCTTTTATTTCATATCACATTTTTATCGTTTAGTATTATTATTAAAGATTAAATATCCCAATTCAAAAATCAGAAGAGAGCTATTGTTAATATACATATGGAAGTGCTGACTATATCAAACAGTGCATTTTTAACTAGGACTATATAAAGTCTTCCATTTAATTTATTGTGTGGACAAAACAAATGGGAAGAGAGTGACCGGCGTTACGTTGACATGCAAAGAAGCCTTAACCATACGCCCATACAGAAGGGATAAGATTATCTCTTGCCTTCTAGCAGTTCTATTGTTTAATTTGTCGCTTAATTTAATTTTCTACCACAACATTTCTGTCGAACTTTGGAATTTAATTTGCAAAATTTCTAGAAGGAGAATTTATTTACTTGGGATAACTTAAAAGATCTAGTTGAGTTGATTTTTTTTTTTTTTTTTTTTAAATTCCTCATAAAGCAAGATATAAATCCAAGGTCTAATATTCATTGTATTCTATTTTTTTTATTGGTAATAGTTACTTACAGTTAGATAACTGGATGATGTAAAGTTATATAAACTCTACATATCCGGCATTGTACGAAAATAGAAATCCACAAATTCCATTAATTAATTAATCAGAAAATTTCATAGCTCGGAGAACTACAAGAAGGCAGAGAATTAATATGATAAGAAGAAATTAACAATTTATAATTTCTTGGCAATCTTAGCCAGTGCCACCAAGAATACCCTTAAGCTTCTTCACAGTAGCATCGTCAAGGAAAGTAGTCTGCTCCACCAAAGAAGAAGCCAAGTTGTTACCAAACAATGCAAAATCAAGAATTTGTAGTCCAGGGTCTGGATTGTTAAAGCTCACAACAGCACTAGCTGGTTTCCCACCGCCATTCGTTTGAAAATGCAGCAATCCTTGCGGGAAAACCATGACATCACCCTTGAAAAGTGTCTTCACATAGACAGAATTAGCTGAAGAAATGAATCCGGCAGTAATTTTTCCATGCAACACGTATAGAATTTCGGACGCAGCCGGGTGAGTGTGCATTGGGACAACACCACCAGGCGCCAGGTCAAGCCGAGCAATGGACAATCCGAGGCCATTCAGGCCCGGGAATTGAGCTACAAATGAGGGAGTCACAGCAGCTTTGATAAGGTTTGTGGTGTTTCCAGCAACTCCAAGGCCTGTGAACACAAAGTCATTTGTTCTTACTTTGGTGGGTGTTATGCAAGGATAGCCTGCTGGACCTGCTGGCCGTTTCAGGTTTGCCACACAGAAGTCAATGGCAGCTGCATTCTTGGAGAAAGTGAAAAGGAGAGCAAAGAAGTAGAGTATCTGGAGCATTTTTGTGGTTTGGTATTGAATGTGGTAATCGTTTGATGGGTTTGGCTTGGTTTATATAGAACTTTGGATGCGTATAGATGAGGTTTGGAGCTCGTGCAATTTGTACATATGCCACAATTTAAAAAAAAAAAAAAAATCTACTCACGTCATTTAGCCCAATTAGTACTCCTACTTGTTTAAAAAGATAATATCCAACTTTAAGTTAAGGGACGCATTCTGAAACCATTTTTTGAGATAGGTGAGAAACAAATCCGAACTTCATCAAATAAAATAAGTAAAACAATCCGTAATAATCTTAACTCCTGGAACCACACTAATAAAAGGTTGATAGGAGATGTTACAATGAAAATATTATTTATCCAATAATATCATGTATGTATGTATGTATGTATGTATAGAGAGCAATATATTACACCGATAAATATACAAGGAGAGCAATATATTACAACAATAAGTAAGTACATGAAATGAAAATAGATATATGGAAAAAGGATATTCTGATTGGAAAAGAACAAAAATTTTGTTGCTGTGAAGCATATGGCCCTTGGTTGCCGAATTAAACAGATAAAAAACAGGAATCCTCTTTTTCTTGTAATTAAAAACTGATGATTGGAAAAAGAAAAGGAAATTAATTAGAGCACCGGCCCTTAAAATTGAACAGTGACAGGCATGATAAACAATGGCCCGTTTAGCACGACAAGTATTTAATGATATTGCCTCTCTTGAAAACTTTTTTTTTTTTTTTTTTTTTGTATGATAAAGGTATCCAAACCAGTTTGCGTATACTTTAACTAATTTTCTTAGGTCCTGAAAGTTCAACCAAATAATTCTCCAATAGCTACCTCTATTAGGGTCTGAGCAGACTCGAATTCAGAAACTTGAGAAAACTCATTTTACTCTTTGACTACCAGGCCACCAATGGTGGTTAAATTTTAACACTTATGCAGCTATGCTTTAGAGATTTCATAGACAGGTTGACACTTTGGGACATGGGACCAAATTCTCTTCTGATACAATCTTGTACACATAAAGTAACTTATCTGTTAATTGTTACTCAAATTGCAGCATATTTAAGAGGTTTTATGGTCAGATGAATATTCAGAAATTTAAATTTTAGAATTGTAATATTAATAAGATACAGTGGAAGAAAATTGCCAAGATATTGGGAAGTTAATAAATTATCCTAAAGTATTGTCCAGTTGCTTCACATGGGAACAGAGAAAGGAGGTGCATAAGAAGACAGATTGACAGCTAAAAGCTTAAAGTTTATCTTTCAAGCCTTGCTGTCCTACAATTCACAACCATGGAAACAATGAGTGGCCCTTGAGACTTCCCTTCCTGCTAAGATTTTTCATCCAAAGCAAATGCCGCAGTTGTCAAACAAGCTATATATCTAGAGTGCTTTGTCATATTTTGTTTTATCCTGAGATAATGCATTTTATCTTTGTCAATGAGAAATGATTTTTCCTTTGATTTCATAAAGCTATTGCCCAATCGAAACAAGGGAACTTTGGAAAAAGGAAAATGGGTTTAGAAGAAGCAGTTAGCTATTTTTTTGTCTTACTTTCTTGACTTATAATGTGGAAAATATGGACTTCTCAAACGTGTAGAAAAAGCAGTCAAGACCAAGTAGCTATAGTTAAAAAACTTTATTTAATTATTACTAAAATTAAGATAGCCATAGGAAGATAATTATGTAACATGTCGGCCCAATTGAATAAATATTGTCTCTTTGTGCAGAGGTTTACATGAAATTTATTTTTGAACTTCACGTAATCATTCTGTCTTATTCACTGGCAATGTAAAATGTGACAAATTAACATTTTAAAGTATTTTTTTAAATGAATTCATAGGCATTATATATGTGATATGATTCATACTTTACATGAGTTTTGGATGGATTATCGGCTTTGCATGAGTTTAGAATTGATTTGTAAATATTTAGGTTTGAGTCGGGTTAGATCTATGGTTAGTCCAAATGAATTAGGGTAACTATTATATGTATATTATTATAGTAGAAAAACCCTAATACAAGAAAAATAGAAAGAAATAGTAAGCTATCGGTACTTTTTTATTATAGTATTCTGTGGATTTTGAAACTCAATAAAATTGTTCTATTTAAATGTTGAATATAGTTCTAGTAATTAAGAACAAACCGGGTAAATTAATTATATCTTCTTTACTTTTCTGTTTTATTTATTATGTGTTTTGGTTATGATTTCAACATTATGTAATGGGTTTGTCTCCCAGTCTTAGTCTATAAATTGCCAATAAGTAGTTGATTCCGAAATTGCGGAAGACGAATTTCTGGCAACTGGAAAAAAAAAAAAAAAAACAAAAACAAAAATTACAGCTGAGAATGAAGTTTCTTGGAGGTTTTAAACGGAGGTTTAACGATCAGCCGCAAAGTGTTGTAGGTTATATGAATAATGCATGTGTAAAAGCTAAAGCTATGCAGATATTTAGAAACCAAAAATATTCTCCAATAATTTTGTAGCAGACTGACTCTGCAACGATGCCAAGTAGAAATATGAAGTGGACAAAAAGAAGAAAATAGCATTCAAAGTTTGAATTTTACAGGCTTTGAATGTGCATTCTGACGATATTTGATGATGAATATCATAAGGCTAGATTCTACTACTGCAATCAAATGTACTTGAATTTGCCAGACCACTTCTTTGGACAACCAGTCAACCACTGAGTCATAAGTGTCCACATTTAACTGAATTCTTTTTTGTTTTTTGGTTCTGGAATTGCTTTTAACAGCAAAAGCACATTATATAGCCGCTGTACTGTACGTGTTAAATGTTGTAACTATTAGTTTGTGTGTAACTATGCGAACCATCTTATTCACATCAGTGAAATTAAATGAAGAAAAAGGATACTGATTTAATAACCTTATTGAATAGTCTTGAATTGCTTTTAAGGGCAAAGGACCACGGTTTGGGACACTTCACGCATACCTCAACTAATTCTTAAGAGAGAATAGCGTAATAATCCATTAACCGAACATGAAATCGTGCATCTACCTATACTATCTTCAATTCGTCCTAACCATCTAGGCTACGCACGACATATTAATCGTCTTTATTCACAACAAAGAAAATGAAATGAAGGAAATATCTTTCTTAATATGGCAATCTTTTACCAAATTGTACGTTAACCATTCGATAATATTATTAGAGCAATAACAATCCTTGGATAGACTTGAAATTGATACCATACGCTTTGATTGAAGCCAGACTGGGCTGATAATGGATCACATCACAAATCCCTAAAGTGGCTTAAACTTGTAAAGATGAAGCCCACCTCTATGAAAAAGTATGCTCTTTGCAATTTTGTTTTTGTTTTTGATATTTCTATTTCCAACCTTTATGGTAAAGTTGGTGACAACAGGCAGCTAGGTCCACCTTTCAGAAATTTCACTGCATAAATGCTTAATATTCCTGCATTTCAAGAGTTTACCAAGCTACAATGGATCTGTAAATTGATGAATAAAAACCTGAAAAACAAATCCTAAAAACAAGATCTCACCCATCCATGGATAACCCAATGGTAAGGACGAATCAAAGGGCTACAAATGGTCATAGTGGTAAGAGCAAACCAATGGGCTGCAACCTGCAAATTAATGCAGTAATGAACAGTGATGGACAATGATGAGCAGTAAACAGTGCTTAATAGTGTCGACGATGTCAGGATGCAACGAATTTTGGCGTGGCACTTCGAAACGGCCAAATAAGTTAGGCTTGTGGCAAAGTCACAAGTTTTGTCATTTTTTAGCCTTTTGGAATCATTTAGATGGGTTTTTAGGCATTTTTTTTTTTTTTAAGTTTTTTAGGGGTGTGTTTGCAAACTTCTAGAGTTTTTTGGGTTTATTTACAATTTTTAGAATGTTTTAGGACCTCTTGGATGATTGTTTAATATTCTTTTTCTAGGTTTTTTTATTAGGGCAAACTATAAAAAGGTTATTATAACCGCAATAGAGCAGTTTTGATGATTATTTATATTAATGAAAGTTTAAGAACTTTTTATGGTTGTTTATTCGGTTTAGTATCCGAACTTCATATATTCTATGGTAGTTTTTTTTGTACCAATTATTTCTTGATTGTTCAATCATCTTATTATTTCGGCATTATAAATGGTAATGACAAATTATCGTGAGATAACTTTTGGTGGGTTGTTGTGGGATACCTCAATTATAAAAAGAAAAAAAAACGCGTCATATATCAAAGCCCTTTAAAATTTCTTAAGCCCCTAAAGATATAAAAAATCTAACAACACAAAGGTTTCTTTATATATTCAAAAAATTATTATACGTTTAAGACTTAACTGTGAATGAATTAATTTCCTTCTTATTATTTTTCATTTTAGTTTTTGTTCTGCAATACACAGTGCAATCAGTTGGGAACCAACCCGTAGAGTTAGGCAAAGCAGGAGAGTGACTGACTCACAAAGTCTGGTTCTGTGAGTCAAAGAAAAATATCTCAGCTCAGGTGAGGTTTAGACCTACAGATGAGACCTATAAAGGAGACTGTGAAAGTACTGCCAAAAATGCTTCACAGGGAAAGATGACTAAGACCAGAATCTAAAGAGCTCTATTCGTTCAAAGGAAACACACTGTATAATTTGAAAACAACCCGAGAGAAAAACCAATAATAATATTGGTTCATGAATGAATGAATGATGTGGTGAGTTCGTTGAAGCAGCATAATAAAGGAGAAAGAGAGGCATGTGTTCTGGGACAGAGAAACACAGAGTGAATAGTCCTGACCTCAAGAGTGCACTTCTCTGCTGACACTTTTACCTGCTAACTTTCAACAAAGTTTAAAAGTGACTGCTTTTAATTGCAAGCAAACAACACCAAACCTCTCTTTATCCAATGGTTTTTCACTTGCTCTGCTATTACNTGTAACTATTAGTTTGTGTGTAACTATGCGAACCATCTTATTCACATCAGTGAAATTAAATGAAGAAAAAGGATACTGATTTAATAACCTTATTGAATAGGCTTGTATTGCTTTTAAGGGCAAAGGACGACGGCTTAGGACAGTTCACGCACACCTCAACTAATTCTTAAGAGAGAATAGCGTAATAATCCATCAACCGAACATGAGATCGTGCATCTACCTATACTATCTTCAATTCGTCCTAACCATCTAGGCTACGCACGACATATTAATCGTCTTTATTCACAACAAAGAATATGAAATGAAGGAAATATCTTTCTTAATATGGCGATCTTTTACCAAATTGTTATCATTAGAGCAATAACAATCCTTGGATAGACTTGAAATTGATACCATACGCTTTGATTGAAGCCAGACTGGGCTGATAATGGATCACATGACAAATCCCTAAAGTGGCTTAAACTTGTAAAGATGAAGCCCATCTCTATGAAAAAGTATGCTCTTTGCAATTTTGTTTTTGTTTTTGATATTTCTATTTCCAACCTTTATGGTAAAGTTGGTGACAACAGGTAGCTAGGTCCACCTTTCAGAAATTTCACTGCATAAATGCTTAATATTCCTGCATTTCAAGAGTTTACCAAGCTACAATGGATCTGTAAATTGATGAATAAAAACCTGAAAAACAAATCCTAAAAACAAGATCTCACCCATCCATGGATAACCCAATGGTAAGGACGAATCAAAGGGCTACAAATGGTCATAGTGGTAAGAGCAAACCAATGGGCTGCAACCTGCAAATTAATGCAGTAATGAACAGTGATGGACAATGATGAGCAGTAAACAGTGCTTAATAGTGTCGACGATGTCAGGATGCAACGAATTTTGGCGTGGCACTTCGAAACGGCCAAATAAGTTAGGCTTGTGGCAAAGTCACAAGTTTTGTCATTTTTTAGCCTTTTGGAATCATTTAGATGGGTTTTTAGGCATTTTTTTTTTTTTTAAGTTTTTTAGGGGTGTGTTTGCAAACTTCTAGAGTTTTTTGGGTTTATTTACAATTTTTAGAATGTTTTAGGACCTCTTGGATGATTGTTTAATATTCTTTTTCTAGGTTTTTTTATTAGGGCAAACTATAAAAAGGTTATTATAACCGCAATAGAGCAGTTTTGATGATTATTTATATTAATGAAAGTTTAAGAACTTTTTATGGTTGTTTATTCGGTTTAGTATCCGAACTTCATATATTCTATGGTAGTTTTTTTTGTACCAATTATTTCTTGATTGTTCAATCATCTTATTATTTCGGCATTATAAATGGTAATGACAAATTATCGTGAGATAACTTTTGGTGGGTTGTTGTGGGATACCTCAATTATAAAAAGAAAAAAAAACGCGTCATATATCAAAGCCCTTTAAAATTTCTTAAGCCCCTAAAGATATAAAAAATCTAACAACACAAAGGTTTCTTTATATATTCAAAAAATTATTATACGTTTAAGACTTAACTGTGAATGAATTAATTTCCTTCTTATTATTTTTCATTTTAGTTTTTGTTCTGCAATACACAGTGCAAGCAGTTGGGAACCAACCCGTAGAGTTAGGCAAAGCAGGAGAGTGACTGACTCACAAAGTCTGGTTCTGTGAGTCAAAGAAAAATATCTCAGCTCAGGTGAGGTTTAGACCTACAGATGAGACCTATAAAGGAGACTGTAAAAGTACTGCCAAAAACACTCTGCCAAAAATGCTTCACATCACGGGGAAAGATGACTAAGACCAGAATCTAAAGAGCTCTATTCGTTCAAAGGAAACACTCTGTATAATTTGAAAACAACCCGAGAGAAAAACCAATAATAATATTGGTTCATGAATGAATGAATGATGTGGTGAGTTCGTTGAAGCAGCATAATAAAGGAGAAAGAGAGGCATGTGTTCTGGGACAGAGAAACACAGAGTGAATAGTCCTGACCTCAAGAGTGCACTTCTCTGCTGACACTTTTACCTGCTAACTTTCAACAAAGTTTAAAAGTGACTGCTTTTAATTGCAAGCAAACAACACCAAACCTCTCTTTATCCAATGGTTTTTCACTTGCTCTGCTATTACCTCCTCACCAACCTATTAAAATCTAACTCATCTCCCTTCTGCGGTTCTGCCACACTAACTATTCATACAAAATGATCCTAACATTGTCCGGAAGCCACTAATTATTTGAATGACTAAAGCAAGAATTATTCCAAATTACCAAATCATCGTCACGTTTGTTTATTTATTTATTTATTTTAATTGGATGGTCTAGTCATCGAATAACACTTTTAGGTGCATTAGTTAATAGATTTTGAGTTTAATTTAACTCGATTATTATAAGAGATAGTCACTACAACTCTTAATTAATCGATAGTTTTAAAGTTTCAAGAAATTAGTTGAGGTGCGCACAAATTAACTCAGACACTTCTAGTTATAAAAAAAAAAAAGTATCCAATAAGTTCTACTACAATCCTCAAGATAAATCTCTTTTTTTTTTTAAGTTAACTGAGGTGTACGGGCCAATTCCGCCCAGGCCCCAGGTAAATCGAATTTGAGACTGTCGATTAAAGTCTTACATAACCCCTTTCGTTTGTCCGTTGGACTACCTATGGTGGGTCACTTTTTTTTTCATTTATAATTTAAAAAATTTCAAACTTACATAATAAATCTGAATTTGAAACTGGAACCCTATGTGAGAACAAAACACAAATCTAACCTAAACCCTCCTGCTGGTGACCAGTTAATCACTTCAAACTCAAAATAGAAGGTGAAGATTACTTCTCATGAATTATATTCCTAGTAAGTTGAAACCTGAAGAGTTGCTGATTGTGTATTGTTTTTTAGCTGATTAGAGCTTTAGATTGAAGCTCCTAAACATTTCTACAATAGAGATGACATCGGGTGGATTCATCAGAAACTTGTTTTTCACTAGAATGGTTTCTGCTGTTGTCGTCAAATAACACCCATTAGTGCATGCAAATCAGCTTTGGTTTATCAGAATAATCAGAGGTTTAATTACTTAGAACTTCAATTATGTTTTAAAAAGTAAGTACATCTGTGAAGTAAGGCATCACAGTATGTATAAAAGCTAAAAGCAAGAAACCCTAAGTCCACAATCCACTGTATCTCCGAGTTTATCTTTACAAACTAAAGGCAAGTGTGGGAAAACCAAAAAGGTTGAAAAAAGAAAAAGCAGCTCATCCGTACTAAAAAAGCAGGCCTCAGGTTCTTAGCTAAGCCCTCTGAGCCTGAGGTGTGTTTGTATCTCTCTCTATGCATACATACATAGTTTATAATACTTTATAATAAAGTAATATTATACGACACAAACACTAGACAAGGGTTTTAGTTTATAATACTTTATAATAAAGTAATATTAACACTAGACAAGGGAAACCCTTATCAGCAAGGATAGATAAATCCACAATGTTATTAATGTAGCCTCAAATAAATGAGATGGCACTCATTTCCAGGACTAAGATGTGAAGACAGCAATACTAAAGGTGGATGGATGACATAAAAGTAGCCTAAGCTGTGCCCATATTTAAATTAAATTTTACTTGTATTACATTTGTTTATGGATTTCTGTAAAGATGTCAGAGACAAGGGCAGCAACAAAGGCAGAAGCATCAGAGCAGAAGGCAACAGAGGTGCAGTCATTATAAGAGCAGACTCTCTCAGTACTCAAGATAGAAAGAGAGAGAGAGTAGAAGAGAGAGAAGAGAGGTGAGGTGAGGTGAGGAGCTGGCAGTAATATCATCATAGCCATTAGTTTTTACTTTCTATCCATGCACAGAAGAAGATTCTGCAACCGAGGGACTATGCAAAAATACCCTTCAAATCTATCAACCCAACAACAGCAAAACTCTCTTAACTTGTTGCATCTTCCATCATCAGCAGCAGCAGCAGCAGCAGCTAGTTCTTGGTCTTTTATCAAACATCCTTCTTTTTCTTCACCTTTTTCTGTTTCAAAGATGATCACTACTGGTGCAACAACTAGTGCAAGAGATATTAGGTCTCCTTTTACTCAAACCCAATGGCAAGAACTTGAACACCAAGCTCTCATCTTCAAATACATGGTGTCAGGAGTCCCTATTCCTCATGAACTCATCTACTCAGTTAAAAGAAGCCTAGACTCTTCAATGGCTTCAAGACTCTTCCCTCCTCAACCAAGTAAGCCTTAGCACATACGCTTTGTGATAGGCCTTTTTTGTTATATTTTTTTTTTTTAAGTGTCATATTTTGTTGAATGCTTTATTATAACTTTTGAGGTTTTGGTGCAGTTGGGTGGGGTTGTTTTCAGGTGGGTTTTGGCAGAAAGGCAGACCCAGAACCTGGAAGGTGCAGAAGAACAGATGGGAAAAAATGGAGGTGTTCAAAAGAAGCTAACCCAGACTCAAAGTACTGTGAAAGGCACATGCATAGAGGCAGAAACCGTTCAAGAAAGCCTGTGGAAGCTACTTCATCGTCACCTCCAACACCAACAATAAATCCTTCTCCACCAATTCCATCACTCAACAGAAGTAACATCTCCATCAACTCTTCACCAACTTCTTTTCCACATATATCTCCTGAACTCTATTCTCAATCTCATCATGATCCAACTCAAAAGACCACCACCTCTCTTCTCAATCCTTTTCTTTACAACCCTCAAACTTCCTCTTCAAGAACTGTTCCTGGCTCTTCTGGCTTGTCACCGCAAGATAACATTTCTACTACTCATCATTTGTTTTTTGATTCTGGAACCTGTTCTCAGGCTGACAAAGATTACAGGTAATAAGTCTGTTTTACAAGGAAAGTTTAAGTTAACTATTTTTGCTGTTTTCTTTGCTTTGATGGTTGGTTAGTTATTAAGAATATTTTGATTCTTCTTGCAAAATAGGTATTTTCATGGGATGAGAGAGACTGTTGATGAGAGAGCTTTCTTCCCAGAAGCTTCAGGGAGTGTTAGAACTTTACATGATTCATGTCAGCCATTGACAATGGAAGGTTCATACAAACCATACTCTGAACAGTCTCAGTTTCAAACTTTTTCTCAAGAGAACTCCAAACAGCAACAAGAGCAACATTGTTTCGTTTTGGGCACTGATTTCAAATCAGCAAGAACCATGAAGTATGAAAAAGAAGATGAAATACAGAAGCCAATACACCACTTCTTTGGCGGTGAGTGGTCACCAAAGAACACAGACTCCTGGCTTGATCTCTCTTCCAATTCCAGACTTCACACTGGTAAAAAAAATTTAATGTTACTGTTCCTCTTTATTCCTTCAATACTGTTCCAATATTTGTCTTCTTCTTGAACTTGATTTTTATTTATTTATTTCTTCCTTGTGTTTGCAGATAGTTGATGATGAGGTCTCAATGATGGACAATTATTCCAAGTCCAAAATAGTACTCTTAGCTGGTGGGTCACAGCCTTTTGTCAAAATTGTGGCTAGGAGAGCTTTGGTTTGCTTAGAAGTGATGAACAATAATGGAGGGCCACATGAAGCTATATAAATATAGATATATATAACCTGTCTTTTGCCATCTTGATACTTAAATTTCTTTCTCTTATTCCCCTGAAAGAGAACATGTTTGGGATTTGTATAACTTTTACTTGTTTGAGTGGAAGCATCTTTCATATGCTTTGGCCTTTCTTCATCCTTATAATAGAAAGTTTGACTAAGCTAGTTAGCTACTTTATTACTTTTGTCTTTTGGGTTCCATGCTTATTCTTCTTCACAAACTTGGAGTCTCATCTCGCAGTATCTAATTAAATCAGATTATCAACTGTATCTCATAATATAATGTCCTGTTTAATAACCACACGATCGGGCAAAGAACTTAAGCTTATTAAAAGCGTGAATATAGCAGCAGACTAGCAGTGAAACAAATGGGCATATTAATGGTGGTGTTGCAGTAGCAGAGCCAGGGTACATGAAAGATGTGAGAGTGGCACGACACGACCCTTAACATTTCTGTCCTGGAAGAAGGAATTGAAGCTGCAAACCTGAACCTGAGACTTGAGAGATGTTAAATTAAACCAATAATAAGTGTACTTTATGAATATGAAATGAACGAGTTCATATATATTGCAGCTGGCATGCACCAGTCGTACAATAAGCAGAGACCTTTGAAGAACCAGAACACCAGTGGCTCATGCTAATTGCAGCCTCCGATTAAATCTAACGCCGCCCAAATAAATGATCACACCCACCAGGGTTCGCAAAATGGTTACTGAAACATGTGGTTTACTGATATAGAGTATCAATTCAAAGAACTTCAATTGCTTATGAACTCTGGTTTGCAATTCAAACACGTTGTTCCTCCTCCTCCACTCTTAAAACTGTTTGATGGGGCTGGCATGGGTCACTGGTCACATCATTGCTGTTGTATAAGCAGCTCGCTATAAAAATGGCCCCTTACAGTGTTCTGTTCTTTTACCACTGTTTTGGTCAACATTGGGCTCATAAATTTAAATGTTCCTGGAGGAGAAACCTCTTTTTCTTTCTTAGCAATAATTCCAGATTAAGATTTTGGATACGCAATCATAATTCATAATAGGAAATTGCAATTTTTTTTAACCCCTACCCCATCCCGCCCCAAAGCCCTGTCACGGGATATTGTCAAGACGGAATGAACTCCCTTTCACTAGGCCAATATCACATAACACCATTTTTAAATAAATTATCAGTGCTTCAGGTCATTGAAACTTTTTTCTTTTAATAAAGTGTTCGGATCTACAATTCTTAAAGGAAACTATCCTGTAGCGATCTATCAATGCAGCATCTCAAGTAAATCATGGGCAAAAGTATGCCCAACAAAGAACCCAACCTGAAACTTGGACCATTTGCAATGCTCTTGGCTCGCCTTTACCTATAGACTACCATGGGTGGGTAAATTGAAGTGTGGAGAGTGGGACACTGTCAGACTAAAAGTTTTTATCATTTCGATACATTTTATATATTTTTCAATATATCGATATGATGAACACTTTTGTTTTGATTATTAAATTCTTATTTAGAAAATAATAATAATAATAATAATATAAAAAAAGAAAAAGAAATTAATGTCACTAAGAAAGGTTATGTGAACTTTATATAGCTTTATTAAACAACCAGCTCATCAAAACTCAAAAGCTAATATAAGCTTGAATTATCTGTAGCAATAAAGTACAGTTAAATTTAGAATTATAACAAATTCCCCCCTATTTGTTTGTGACTAAAGTTTGTTCTCCTATTGTCTTGTTTCCCTCAAATTTAGCTGTGTCATCAAGATATCTTTCTAATCTACTTACCAAACAATTGGCCAAGGTTTAAAAGCAGGAAAAGATGCATGATTGTTGCACATTTTCAAATGTTTTAACAGGATTTGATCCATTGATTATCTGCAACGCGACTTTCATCACTAAATATAGATACATTCTCATAGAATCCAAGTCCAGATCAGTGCCAGACAATGACAAATGGGCAACATGATACCCTCTCTCTTTCCAACTCATTTATATTCAGAGTCAAATATTATAAGATCCCAAGCAATAATTCTTTGGTTAGCAGCCTACCATCACAGGAAAAATTGACTAATAGGCCTATCAAGCATAAAGTGACAAGGTTTTATCTTTATCTCTCAATCAGATACAGCTTCAGCTCTCTCTGAACAGTTTTGAAGACTAACCAAAGAAATTCAGAAAAGAAATTTGAGCCAAACAAGAACTTATGGTTGTTTATTCACTAATAGTCTATCAGCCAAACCAACATATTTGATCTGAACTACAAACATTTTTCAGGGTAAGCATGAGCATTATTCATATGACAAGAATCAGATGTCAAATAGCATTTAGTTGCATATCTTATTTGCGACGACGAAACTGAACGAGTGCTTGAAGAAATGCAAACCAACAAAGATGGTTTCCAAAAGCAACAAGCATTGCTTCATAAATGTAACAGAAATATAACAAAACAACGAAACAATGCAAGTGCAATGCAGTACATTTTCAAGGTTAGATAAACATCACACAGAACAGATCCATAAATAGATCACCTAAGAGGCAACATGCTTCTTCCGTAAGATTTTCAAAAGCATCAAAAGAATGGTAGCACTATCTAAAAAATTTCTATATACAAGAGAAACCGAAAGAATGTATAACCATACTAAGAGAACAGAGGAGGCACTAAATGCTATACAAAACAAATCCCTAAAATTTTAAAAAATCATGAATCCCAGAAAACAGCAAGGGTGTATAAAGAATATAGAACCAACACCTTGATATAATATCCACAAGATGCTCAAGTTACTAATTAATTTCTGGAAAACTTTATAAGATCTTCTAATTCTTCACTACAACAGACAAACATGATTGCTATATGTGCAAACAACAATCCCCGTTACATTCTCCAGCATGTCGATCAAATTAATTGCAGACCAACTCCGTACCTCCTAATGCATGAAAATCATAACTTCACCTTGAATGTTTGATCAAATCAAGTTTATTGGCTATTCCTATTATTGCTCCTCTTTCATTTCGTATTCCCCAGAAGCATTAGAAATGCTAATGGACAGGAAAAATTGCAACAATGAACAAAAAAAATTCAGAAAGCATCTTAAACATGTCACAAGTCTTTAAGAGATACCAATCAAATGAACAAGCATTTAAAGTGACTAAATATTGTCATTGTAATCCTTAGATAACTTCTAGATTTATCATTAAGTCACATAGTTAACTGACAAATTTAACAACGTTTAAGAACGCACAAAAGCTGTAGGGAAAAGGATTTCTCCAGCTTTAAATTATCAGCCGTGTAGACAAAACTACATAACCGAAATGAAAAATATGTCAACATGATGAACAACATGCCCATCTGCATTTTTTTTTACAGAGAACCTCAAATGAAGACACCTATACTCCACACTCAATTTGATAATATGTACCATCATTCAACAATCTCTAATTGCCTTGCCCTTAACAGCTCATCGTCAAAGAATCTGAATCCAATCCAATAAAACCCTCACATCCAAGAAACTCATTCCAATCCAATTCAATCAATAAGCCTCCACATTGTAATTCAATGCCCCAAACAAAAGAATAATGATATGACAAACTTCAAGAAACCTATAACCAAAAAGAAAAAAAAAAAAAAGAATTTCAAGAAGAGCAAGTTTCATATCTGTCACTGATCTTCAAAAGCTGCCTTCTCTTGAAAGCCAAGAACCCCACTACACCAATCTGCAAAATTGCTGCAACGCCAACAAACAACAAGCCAATCTTTTTCCCTGTATTGACCTTGTTTTCATGTGTAGGTGGTGGTTTTGCAGGATTTCTTTTTTGATGATGTGGTCGGGATTCATTGATTTCATCCGATGTAGTATTGACGGCCCTCCGAGTCGGATTTGATGGCGGCGGAGTGGGGTCCGACGGCGGCGATGTGGGTGGGGATTGTGATTCCGGGGGTGGAGGTGAGCGTAATCCATTAGGTGGTGGTGGCGGTGCTTGTGGTGGCGGAGGCGAGGGACGAGGCGGAGGTGGAGGCGGAGGTGGTGGGGGAGGCGGTGGAGGGGTTATATTTGCATTAATTTGTGAATTTGACTGAATAGAAAGAGCAAAAAAGGTTAAAACAAAGCATAGATTGTCAAAATGGGAGACAATGATGGTTCCATTAAGCAAAACAATCACTTAAGCCCCAATAAAAAGAAACAAACTGTTCAGGGAAATCAAGATTTAGTTTTGATGCCAAACTCTTGATTTTTCTCTCCCTTTCTAATATTTCCTGCATCTAGCTCAAATAAGGTCACCCCCGAATTCTGAAATTCCTCTTCTTTAGTACAGCCTATTCAAAAATTCGGTTCAAAAACAACTAGGGTTGGCGCAAAAGATCAAACTTTTGAATCTGGGTACTTCTGATTCCTACTTTTTATGAAGAATCAAGGACAAGGATCACTGGGTTCGTCCCAAAAACCCATAGATGCTCAAAATCATGAACAATGTAACTTGGTGTAAACAAAAGATTAGATTGTCTTTGAATCCTCATACTCCACTTTTCAAATTTTTTTCTTTTTCTTGGGGGGGTGGGGTTTTTTTGTTGGGATTCTGGGTAAAAAAATTAAGAGGAATGAGTCAAAAATGAATTGGGTTGTTGAGAAAATATCAATTTGAAAATTGAAACGGCATTACATCAGGTCTTTGTCGTCTGACCTATTCCACCTTGGAGACAAAGTGTTTTGTGTTTTTATGTGAAGAGAGGCTACGCTGGGTTCAATGGTTGGGGACAAGTCTGAGCTGCTCCTCAAAGATCGTGATCTGTCAAATTGTGTATTAACTTGAGAAGGTGGGGCTATACCACCGTTTGATGGATGTTTTGTGGGCCAATGGAATTGGACATCATGGTTTGGTTTCCAAGTCTAGGTTTGGGCCCATTTGAGATTCTTGATAAAATCTTATCATCTAAAATCTCAATCCCACACCTCCTGCGTATCACATGATCCATGACATTCTACTGATTCTATACCGAAACGCAACATTATTCATTAATATGCATAAACAACATTTTTAGTACTATATATATAATATAATTATATATATATATATATATATATATATATATATATATATATATATAATATATATGTTGAAAGTGTCTACACCAGTTTATGCGTGTCTCGATTAATCTATTAGACCCTAAGTTACCCTGAAGTTAACGACCAGATCCCTTTCAGTATTATCCTTTTAGCAACCAGAGGAATCAACTCAAGACCTTTGAATAATACACCCGAGTCTTTACGCCCCATCCCCCACCCAGGGTGATTAATACAATATATCTTACTATGTTACATTCATCTTCACTTCGTTTATAAGGTTTAAAGTTTGGGTTTGATCATCATTCATCAGTATCAATTGTCTCTTTTGATAATATCATTGACAAGGTTTAACCGTAATAATATATAATGATTCGATTCTATACATGTATTTTAACTTTCAAAAGCCTTGTTACAATTAACTCTCAATGATCCTCTTTAACCTATATGAAATGAGATTTCTAATCATCCAGATGTTATCCAGAGATCTTATGGTCGAGTCTCACAAAATAACCACTTATCATATTTATGACTTACCTATTTCATTGAGCTTATAGATGTTCAATAGACCTTGGAGACTTACTTGACTCATTAGATTTAGGTGTTCAATAAACTTTGAGGACGAGTTGAGATGCACACACAGCTAGCCCAAACACTACATTATAAAAACATAAAAGAGATTTCTTCATCATATTTGTTACAAAATATATATATATATAATATATTCCTCTTAACTTATCTTGAATAATCTATTTATGGTCTCACATGGGGCATGTGGCCTCTAGAAGGTAAATAATCAGAGTCCTATACGCCTTTGCAAATTAAATAAATTGGGTTGCTACTTCTACTATGGGCGCCCCAAATCCAATGCATTAGGCTACAAACATTGCACATATAACCCATAGATGGGAAATAATTTATTTATTTATTTATTATTATATTGTAAAAGGAATATTAAAAAAATTATATCAAATAAAGCATTAATAATGATTCATCCATAATTAGATGATCCGGTCATAGAACAAAAAAAAATCAAGAGCCTCGAGCCAATAAAGACCAAGAAAATTGACTTAAGAATAGAGGCGTGTAAGGTTTCTTCGAACTGGATGGAGATTGACCCTTGAATAGAGTCGGCGATGGGCCGTGTAGGCCCATGGCACAACATGGCATGAAAATATGCTTGTCGTGCCGTGCCATGGGCCTTAAAAAAGCTTGTGGGCTCGCACGGCACGAAAAAATAAATAATAAAATTAATAGCTATTTATTTTTAAAATATAGGCGTGTAAAGGTTTCTTCGAACTTGATGGAGATTGACTCTCGAGTAGAGCCGGCGATGGGCCGTGTCGGCCCATGGCACACACGGTATGAAAATATGCTGCTGTGCCATGCTGTGGACCGACACGGTACAAAAATAAAAATAAATTAATACCTATTTATTTTTAAAATAGTCGTTCCCCCCCCCTACAGGGGGTAACAATTAGTTTTTAAATAGTCATTACCCCCCCCCCCCCCCCCCCCTTTTCCCTCCCGTCGAAAGAATTTATTTATTTTTTATTATTATTATTGTAAAGGAATATTAAAAAAATTATATCAAATAAAGCATTATAATGATTCATCCATAATTAGATGAATCCGGTCATAGAACAAAAAAATCAAGAGCCTCGAGCCAATAAAGACCAGAAAGTTGACTTAAGAATAGAGGCGTGTAAAGGTTTCTTCAAACTGGATGGAGATTGACCCTCGAGTAGAGCTGGCGATGGCCCGTGTAGGCCTATGGCACAACATGGCATGAAATAATGCGTGTCGTGCCGTGCCATGGGCCTTAAAAAAAGCTTGTGGGCTCGAAGGCACAAAAAAATAAAATAATAAATTAATAGCTATTTATTTTTAAAATAGCCGTTACCCCCCTACAGGGGTAACAATATTTTTTTAAAATAGTCATATACACCCCCCCCCCCCCTTCCGTCCCGGCCGAAAGAATTTATTTATTTTTTATTATTATTATTATTGTAAAAGGAATATTAAAAAAATTATATCAAATAAAGCATTAATAGATTCATCCATAATTTGATGAATCCGGTCATAGAACAAACAAAATCAAGAGCCTCGAGCCATAAGACCAAGAAATTTGACTTAAGATAGAGGCGTGTAAAGGTTTCTTCGAACTGGATGGAGATTGACCCTGCGTAGTAGCTGGCGATGGGCCGTGTAGGCCTATGGCACAACATGGCATGAAAATGCGTGTCGTGCCGTGCCATGGGCCTTAAAAAAAGCTTGTGGGCTCGCACGGCACAAAAAAAATAAATAATAAATAATAGCTATTATTTTTAAAAATAACCGTTACCCCCCTACAGGGGTAAATTATTTTTTAAAATAGTTATCAACCCCCCCCCCCCCCCCCCCCCCCCCCCCCCTCTTTCCCTTTGCGGGGTAACGACTATTTTAACTTAAAATCATGTTGCTAAGTCATTATGTGGTGCCGACAGATTTCAAGCTTCAAAATCGTGTTGTTGAGATCTATTTGAAGAATTTGGAAATTAATGAAAATAAGATGTATACTAATTCTTAATCATAATTTCTAAGTTTGATTGTAATTTAAATTATAACTTATAAGTAATAAAAGTGTTGAAATTCAATGGCTCATTATTTTATTATATTTCATGTGATTATATTTTTAATTAATATAAATACAAAATGTCACTAAATATAACATATAAAATATTTTATAATAATTATTAATAATAAATCAAAATTACCATAATATATAAATATTAAATAAATATTTTTACAAAGCACGTGAGCCGGTCCAAGGCATGACACGATATTAACGGTCTGCCGTGGGCCTTCAAATTTCATGGGTCGGCACGACCGATAGGGTACGAACTATGCGGCATTGGCACGGCCCGATGAACCTTGAATTTTATGGCACCCCACCACCACCTCTACCCTCGAGTGTAAGGTGCAAGGGGGCTTGACTGCAAAACCCACCCATCAAGCAGGGACGAAAGTCACCTTAGTAATTCGACGGTGCCGAGATGAAGGCCATCTCCATCAATAAAGTTACTCTAGGGATAAGAAACTATAATCAATACTTTATTGAATAATGCTACAGTTTCAAAAATATATACCGAATTACGCACTGACAGACATGGCACCATCCTCTTTTCTTAGAAAAAAAATTCATAATTAATGGACGATCATGATGGTATCACCTTTGATTGTACATGAATTCGGTATATGTTTTTGGGTAACTGTATCATTTTTCATCCATAATTACATTATATTAATACTCTATCAAATAAATTTGAATAGGATTATTTATTTGATTGTGTACATCTAATTATATTTAACTTCAACTAATAATGTAATGCATTAATCAAAGTCACAAAAATTCTTGTTTTTCTTAAGAAAAAGCCAGTGACAAAGCTTCTCACAGTGTATACAAGAATCTATTGTTTAAGGGAGAAAGACATTTTCCCAGCCAAGATTTGGGGAAACGACACCTTCCCGCCGTCAAGTTTCAAAATGATACTTTTCTATCTGTCAAGTTTCAAAAAGACACCTTTCCACCTTTCATCAAATTTCATTAATGTTTTTTTGTTAATATTTCAATGACAAGATAAAAATATCTTTAAATAATTTATTATAAATTAAAATTTTTACTCGATTATTTATTAATTCTAAGGGTAAACATATCTTTTTTCCTTTGTTTATTTAATTAATTAAGAATAATGATTTTCTATATTAATTGGTAAAAATAAAAATATTATAAATTTAATAGATTATTAAATAACAGTGATATAATAAATAAATAAATATTAACATCGTTTAATTTTAAACAATTCTATTACCATTAACTTTTTAGCTATAGTTAATTATTTTTTATTTTTTAATATTTCACTTTTTGACTAATTAAAAAATAATAAAAAAGTTAATAAAATCAAATATTTAAGGATATTTTTGTCTTTTTAATAAAATATTAACTAAAAACATAGCCGATGTTAATGAAGGGTGTAAAAGTGTTATTTTGAAACTTAAAGGGTGGGAAAGTGTCGTTTTGCCAAACCTTGGGTGGGAAAATGTGGTTCTCCCATCGTTCAACTTTGAAGTTGTTAAAGGAGAAAAAGAACTTCGCCTGCCTGCCTGCATAGGTTTGAACTTCGCCTGCCTGCCTGCATATGTTTGAAGTTTTACAGTAGAGTACTATGCAAAATGCATGCTAAGAAAGATTCACTCTAAACTTTTTGACTACCTTCTGCAACAACGAATGACAAGAGTTTACCCTAAACCCTAGAAAAGCAGCAATGTCACATGGGAGAGAGAGAGAGAGAGAGAGAGAAAGCATCCATCAGCAGCCCTTTCTTTGCATTGTGCAGTGGAGCTACGAAGAGCGAGAGCAAAAACCAACTTATCAACAAGAAGGATGTTTGGCTGGATTCATGGTCATCGCAGTCTCTTTCTTTACAGACTCCAAAATTTGTCTGCACAAACTGTCCTTCACCCCCTCAGATGAAAGGATCTAAGCGAAGGGTTTTTTGTATCCCTTGTCCCATCATCTCTCTCTCTTTTCCTCTAAAATTTCCAACCCCAATTAAATTTCACAATAAAAACCATGAAAGTGATGCCAATGGCAATCCTGTGAATCTTTTTTCTAACCTATTCAACGCACATATTCATATGTATATTATTCATTCATGTGAACAGCATTATCAGAGTTGATATATAGAATTATAGATGTTGGAATTGCTGAGACACACATGGGAATGGATGGAGAAATCAGAAATGGGACATGGGAGATGGGGGATAACTCCTCCAAAATTATATCTATTATGCAAATGCCTTGGAACTTGATGATGCTCTCTATACGTTTCTATTATAGGCTACAGTTCAGAAACTTGTTAGGGCACGCGAGCTGTCGGCTCTAGCTAAAACTCATTCTGGGTATTGCTTTCTCGCTTGCTTTTTTGTGTCTTTTAATGTAAAAATTTGCAGAGATATTTGTTACGAGCCATTGTCTATGAATCATCAAACCACAGAAAATGAGAGATCTTGAAAAAATTAATAAAACTTTATCAAAAAAGTAATAAAAATAATGAAACTTCGTTTGACGTGCAAAAAGTTAAGAGAGAAGTAGTATTGTAATATTATATTCCAATCATGTAAAAAGTCAATGAGTAGATGCCAAAGATTTTGCCATCACTGTAAGCCAATAGGGCAACTGATAGCTGTAAATCTGATCAGAATCAATGGCTAGCTACACCCAACATTGAAAGCAAGTAATACACTAATACCCACAGCTGGTAATGGGGTTAAAGTTTGAAGCAGGAAACAACAGTACCCAAACCAATGAAAGAGCTGAAACCCTAGAAACGTAGCCCTGAAACCCTATTTCTGCCAGCAAGCATTAGGTCTAAAAAAAATCTAGAGAGATAGAGATGAGATCGGTAAATTTGACGGAGAAAAATCGCAGCAGCTAGCTGCATGAAGTATCTTGTCCTGTGGGATTTTGTCTCTATGTGTGTTCCTCTCTGTTGCCAGGTTTTTCACTTGAGCTAGATTTTATAATTTGGATCCGAATCTATCTCTAAATTTTCTCCCTGCAACACTCTCGCAGTCTGTACATATTCTCTTCCACCTTGATATTCGAAGCTTCGCAGCAAAAATTCATGTTAATATCACTTTTAAAAGAACATATTTTTTCTTGAAAACAAATCAAAGTCCCTAATGGGCGCTGTCATTGAAGCAAAAACTTAACAAATATGTTCTTTTTACGTTAATCAAGGGTATTATTACGGACGGGAAAAGTTTATCCTGATGAGTTTTGGTCAACTTAGTGTCGCTGGTCATTTGTTTTATCCCAATACTTTAAACTGCTACACTTAAACCTTAATGTACCTAAGCCCCATATGGATAAATTCATTCAACTCTAATAAAATTATCGAATCCACTTTCTTCATGCGCAAATTTGTGTTGAAATCAATACCCTAATGGTGGTAGAGGTCCTTCGTTCATTTCATTAGAAAGTGGGAAATAAAATATTATCTTGGAAAAGTTCACACATATCTTGGACTATATGGGACAAAATGGATGGTGAATCCAATGTTTTCGTTTCTATTTTCTTTTTCTTGGGTTTGGAGAGTGATTTTACAAGCCATGGAGGGGCGTCTGGGATTGGCATTGAATAAATGAAAGTATGAAACTATGGAAGAGAGAGAGAGAGAGAGAGAGAGAGACAGAGGCATGTAAAGCTAAAGGCACGCAATTTAAGGCACCCCTTGTTCAGAAGAGCAGCAGCAGCAGGCTTGCTGGATTCTCTCTCTCCCTTTCTGTCTATCGAAAGAGTCAAAGAGCTGAAGCTTACCCAGTTTTTGACTTCTTCTACAGCTGTATAATCTGCAATTGCATTAAGCGTATGGTAGCAAACTAAACTTAACAGCTAGCTGCCTCTATCAAGCGCCATCAACAAGGCATCTACAATCTACACTGTAAATCCCCCGTTATCTGTATGTGATCTTCTCCCATTTAATAGATGTAATGTCAAGTCTTGTCATAGGGTTAAACTTTAAACCTCTTCTAGAAGAATCTTCGATGGAGAAGCCAACTTGGTTAAGAGTTATAGCTTGCGTCTATGAGCTGAATGGCTGAGCCAAAANTATTATATTCCAATCATGTAAAAAGTCAATGAGTAGATGCCAAAGATTTTGCCATCACTGTAAGCCAATAGGGCAACTGATAGCTGTAAATCTGATCAGAATCAATGGCTAGCTACACCCAACATTGAAAGCAAGTAATACACTAATACCCATAGCTGGTAATGGGGTTAAAGTTTGAAGCAGGAAACAACAGTACCCAAACCAATGAAAGAGCTGAAACCCTAGAAACGTAGCCCTGAAACCCTATTTCTGCAAGAAAACATTAGGTCTAAAAAAAATCTAGAGAGATAGAGATGAGATCAGTAAATTTGACGAAGAAAAATCGCAGCAGCTAGCTGCATGAAGTATCTTGTCCTGTGGGATTTTGTCTCTATGTGTGTTCCTCTCTGTTGCCAGGTTTTTCACTTGAGCTAGATTTTATAATTTGGATCCGAATCTATCTCTAAATTTTCTCCCTGCAACACTCTCGCAGTCTGTACATATTCTCTTCCACCTTGATATTCGAAGCTTCGCAGCAAAAATTCATGTTAATATCACTTTTAAAAGAACATATTTTTTCTTGAAAACAAATCAAAGTCCCTAATGGGCGCTGTCATTGAAGCAAAAACTTAACAAATATGTTCTTTTTACGTTAATCAAGGGTATTATTACGGACGGGAAAAGTTTATCTTGATGAGTTTTGGTCAACTTAGTGTCGCTGGTCATTTGTTTTATCCCAATACTTTAAACTGCTACACTTAAACCTTAATGTACCTAAGCCCCATATGGATAAATTCATTCAACTCTAATAAAATTATCGAATCCACTTTCTTCATGCGCAAATTTGTGTTGAAATCAATACCCTAATGGTGGTAGAGGTCCTTCGTTCATTTCATTAGAAAGTGGGAAATAAAATATTATCTTGGAAAAGTTCACACATATCTTGGACTATATGGGACAAAATGGATGGTGAATCCAATGTTTTCGTTTCTATTTTCTTTTTCTTGGGTTTGGAGAGTGATTTTACAAGCCATGGAGGGGCGTCTGGGATTGGCATTGAATAAATGAAAGTATGAAACTATGGAAGAGAGAGAGAGAGAGAGAGAGAGAGACAGAGGCATGTAAAGCTAAAGGCACGCAATTTAAGGCACCCCTTGTTCAGAAGAGCAGCAGCAGCAGGCTTGCTGGATTCTCTCTCTCTCTTTCTGTCTATCTAAAGAGTCAAGGAGCTGAAGCTTAACCAGTTTTTGACTTCTTCTACAGCTGTATAATCTGCAATTGCATTAAGCGTATGGTAGCAAACTAAACTTAATAGCTAGCTGCCTCTATCAAGCGCCATCAACAAGGCATCTACACTGTAAACCCCCCGTTATCTGTATGTGATCTTCTCCCATTTAATAGATGTAATGTCAAGTCTTGTCATAGGGTTAAACTTTAAACCTCTTCTAGAAGAATCTTCGATGGAGAAGCCAACTTGGTTAAGAGTTATAGCTTGCGTCTATGAGCTGAATGGCTGAGCCACAAGTTTCCGGATACGAAAGGTCATGTCTAGAGAAAAGATATTCAATCTTAATTTCGACCCTTGTACCATTTCAAATTATTTATATACTGTTACAAAATCCTGCATTAAGTCAAATCTTGCATGGCATCTTCTTGACGAGTGAACAACATTTGATTAACAAGAGTAACATATTGAAGAAACTTATAATATTAGCTGTGCATACTGCATAGTGCATACTTTGACTGTAAATTCCAGTTGGTACAAAACTTGCACAAAAACTGCACCTGCCTGCTCAATTTCAACATATATAATATAGTGTTGATGACAAGAGTCAAAATCAGTAAAAGATCATCAAAAATAAAATCAAAACATGATTAATTTAACTGTTAAAACCATTCATATTCCCTTGTTAACATATAAAGCTCCTGTTTAGCTAACTAAACTTGATTAACTTCCACTGTGAACTACTTTCTTCTACGTACCCTAACTGTGTTATTTTTTTTTTTTCTTAAAAGCAAAACATTTCACTACTCATTCCACAGAGCAAACATAGGGACTTGATGAACCAATCCCAAATTTGCAAGCCTGCTGTTACTTGCATGATCACTTCCAGTATCCCCATCTTCATACTTTGGACCCTGCAATGAGAAATAGCCTTGGGAGTAGTCTCCACCAATGCCGAATTCAGTAGCCAATCCAACTGAGCATTTGGGGCTTTGAGGGTCAGATGAAGTCCTGCTACTTGCCGCAACCAGCGAAGAATCAGTGTTAGTGTTAGTACTTTGATGGCGTTGTTGATGATCATCTGAGTTAGTACTCCACAGCATGTCAGCCAATTCATCGGATGCCTCGCCACTTGCCATGGCTAGAAGTGGTTGAGGCGACGTCGAAGAGGCACAAGAATTATACTCCTCAAGAGTAATTGGATTAGAGTCCTTAGGTGATCTTTTGGCAAGGTCACTGCCCAACAGTGTAGAGCTTGAGCAAATTCTCTTCACATCATACCTACTTATATCAAAATTGGTCACAGCACTAGTCCCCCTAAATTTTATTGCAGCAATATCATAGGCTTCTGCAGCTTCCTCTTGTGTACCTACATTGTCAAAAATAGACTTAATTTTTATTTTGTTGCAAAATTAACATCATAAAATATTGGCATAAAGTTTAAATGAGAGAGAGAGATTGAATATGGATGCTTACTAAATGTTCCAAGGTACAAGTCTTTGTTGCCTGCAACCCTTCCAATTCTTGCTTGCCACCTTCCATGCTGATGGTGTCTGTGAAGATAAAAGAAAAAAACTTATCAACTAAAAGGAAAGATGGATAGATTCAATAATGGAAGAGCTTTAATAATGTACCAAGAATACACATTTCATAACATAAGCTATTAATAATGTCTGTCTATTATTGCCTATTATAACGGGAAAAGGCTGCAAAATGCAGTAAATAATGAACTTTATCATTCATGTCACTTTCTGCCATGCATTTACCTTGTCACACCTCTGTACATAGAAGCTCCTCTTGAAAACCCACTACTTTTCCTGTCAAAACATCATAAAAAAAACTTCATTAATCAACTTTACTTATTTGTTACTTACTTTACACATTTTCAAATGCGTTTTATCAACCAATTGGTTTTCTTAGCAATTTGAATAAACTACTGTAACATTAATACCTTCTTAAATTGGCAACAAATTCTTGTCTTGTCATGTGCTTCATTTCTTCAAGCTCCTTCCCATAAGTGCTCAACTAAGTAAATTGATAAAGAAAAATGACTACTATAATCAGTTGTTAATTAGTTGAAAAGGAAGAAACACTTATAATGTCACCAACAAACTTACAGAAAAATTTATATGAGTTGTTGGACCCCAATATTTCAAGGCAGCCAAATCATAAGCCCTAGCTGCTTTCTCTTCCTTGTCATATCCACCTGATATATGAAATTTTTTTTTTGGCAAAAAGAATAAAGGAGAGAAGATGCATGCGCAGAACCCTAAGTTACTTATTCTTAAATAAACAAAATATATAATAATAATAAATTATAATATTCATGACTTCTTTAGATTCACATCGACATAATTAATTAAAGAACATGCAAAAGAATACACCAGTTTCACTTACCAAGGTAAACTGCAAAAAATTGAAGAAGCCGAAGGAGAAATCCCCAGAAATGAAAGAAACATCACAGTTAGTATAATATTCTTTGCAAGATACCCAAAAAAAAAAAAAAAAAAATTATGATTAAAATTATTGACATTGTTTATACTCTCTTACCTTGCCTTCCTTTTCTTGTTTGTCCTTCTTTTCTGCAACTGTTGTCCCACAAATGGGCCTCATATCTTCCTGTCCACCTATGCCTATTAAATTTCACAACATAAACAAAACAAAACAAAACATAGAACAACAGAATAAATGCCCATCAATATTCAAACAAAGCTAAAGTTGAACTTAAATAGAAGTGAAGAGTAATTATGCAGAAAAAAAGTCTTCATATTACCTAGTAACACCACGATATTGTGAAGTTCTTTGCCCAAAAGTATCAATAGATTTGCGAGGAACCGGTTCTCTAGCAAGAGTTTTCCCCACAGCCCGTTTGCGATTATCAGGAACTCCTTGTAATGGCACAGAAATTGCACCCATTCCACCATTTTGTTCTGTGCTAGTGGGGTTCATTGTGAGAGAGAGGGACTGATAGCTACAGTTGTTGGATTGATTATCAGTAGGAGTTTTCTCACCAGAAAATGGTGTTTGTCTTAGCAAAGACTTGAACCCAGAAACGGAAGTTGCATTCTCAAAGGGGACATGGTACATGCTGAGGTTAGAGAGGTGAGTCGGGTTTAAATCACTGGAAATTAGGGTTTGTGGGGTGCCAATGTAGTGGTGCTGATGATGAGAGTGAGAGTGAGAATGGATTATCCCAGATGGGTTTGTAAGACTTTCACTGGGTTCCATCTCTCCATTAGAGTTGAAACTTGGAGCTACGTTAACATTGATTCCAGAGTTTAAGTCTTCACAATAAACAACTTTGTTAGCATCATGATCAGATGGAGAGTTTGAGTAACAACTTCCCAAGAAATCTTCAAGCTTTGGACCTTCCTGATCATTTGCACCGCTTGAACTTCCCATTCCATCCTCATACCTCCAATCTCCTTCAAAACACAAAAGCAACAATCTTGAGAAACATGCAACAAACTATTTGAAAGGAACAAACATGCAAGAAAACAAAAAGATTATACCATGAGAAGAACGTCTGAAAGGATCGACAACACAAAGAGACCCATCAGAGCGCAAAGGCATGACAGACAAAGAAGAGTCCTCATCATGATGACGATGATGATGAGTGGAAAAACAAGGAGGGTCTTGGTCTTCTCTACCAACATAACCTTCATCGATTCTCAGGTGAGGAGTCAGAGAAAACCCCAACCAGTTACTCATTCTCTAGAAAAATGAAAAGACAACAAAAAAACACAGTGTTTCTCTTTATATATAAATAAGAATAGTTGGCTTGTGTTGCTGTATTGTGTTGTGTTTCTCTCTTTCTGCTCTTTGTCGTAATTGTTGTTGTTCTTCTCTACCGGGACTTGGGATTTTGGTTTGAGAGCTCAAACTTCAAAAACGTTTACAAACTTCTCTCGTCTTATATTCCCAGTTCCGCATCTGTTTTGCTAATATGCATAGGCTTTCGTGCCCTCTCTTTCGTTTCCTTCTCAGTTTTTGCAGAGGTGGCCATCTCATTTTTTATCTTTCATTTTTCTATACTATTCGTCTACTCCAATGCTTTCGTTTAGCAAGAATTTAGTATCTCATTTCCAAGATTTTTTTTTTTTTTGGTCTTAATTCTGAATAATTCATATTAAACTTATAAATAATATAACATTTTACTAATATTAACTTATTTGAAAATCAATTATTTTAGAGTTATCTTTGCATAATGTTTTTTTTTTTGCCGAATAATTTCCACCTATCCAAAGTTTGGCATAAAGACAGATTGATACCAAAAAGTTTGAAAATGAAAAACAGATACTTTGTCATATTCTATTAAAGATTTATGTCTGCTAAAAGACAGTATAGTAATTTCATCTACAGTCATAAAATTTTAAAATTTTAAATCTTTTTCTCCATATCCACTCTCACCCCAAGCCCGTTTGCACAGCCTTCTTGGGTTATCGATCGCTTTTTTGGCCGGATTTAGCATTTTTCTATGAAGTTTGGTGATAAATAGTGGCACTGGCCCCTGCTGGCACACGTTGGGAATGGAGATCAGTAGATATTCTAGTCTTTTCACTATTTTTATTTTTTAGCAGATGAAAATTCCTAACAAAACATGACAAAAAGTGGGTGTTTGTTATTTCCAAACTTTTTGGGTACCACTTTGTCTATACAACAAACTTTGGGTATGTGTAAGTCGTTCCCCCTATTTTTTTTAACCAACATATTTAGACCAGTTCACGTGCACCTCAATTAATCCTTAAAAGAGACTAATTTAGCAATCCACCGTCACGGCCCCCTAATAAAATTACAGACGTTCAGATGGAAAATCGAACCTGAGACTATACGCTTATCCACTCTATCCTCAATTTTATTAAACCATAAACCTTAAATCTTAAATTGTCTAGAGTGCCAATAACATACATTAAGCTTACAATCCGAAAAAAAGAAAAAAAAAATCATATCAATAAATTTATAAAAGTGTATAAAAATAATTATCCCTAATTAATGCAGCCTCATATGCTTCAATTATGGATTTGAGTATTGAGCGAAAGGTTAAACTTATGAGTTCTGTATCGTAAGTCAACCTTATTACACTTGTGTCAATCAGAAATCGTCAAGTGCTTCCTCGATACTAAAATCAAATGATTAGGGGGCATCGAATCCGGATTTTCATTCAAAATAAATTTTTGCGAATTAATAATTTTAATGTGTGTTATAAAAATAACTCATTTAAGAATGTTAAATTTTAGGTTAACTTCAATCGTCCACGAGAGAAAATGTTAAGTCTCTAGGGTTAGTGAAGTAGTTTTCATTTAAGCCATAGATCGGAGTTTTTATAGATTTGATTAATGATGAACGGCTTAGATCATAAGGTTGATAACAGTATGATGCACCAGATTCACCCTCAAGATTAGAATTTAGCACAGTCAGCGATTGGTCCACGTAATTTACTTAAGCGCTGTATCTAATACTCGCAGCTGTAAGTTTCAAGACTCTACTCGCTATCGTTATGAAAAATGAACGGTGATTAACGAAGGGTAATCTGGTAAATTTAATTGGAAACCTTGAGAACTCCGCTGGATAAGTTTTAAGGGTAGAATGGTATTAACAACGCAAAATTAATACTGGCTTTTAGGGATTTTTCTTTTTTTTTTTTTTCAGAAAAAAAAAAATAAAAAACTCTTAGGGAGAGGGTGTTTCATTTTTAAAGGAAAATTCTCTTTTTAAGGTGAGGGTTTTGATACAGAGATGACGATGATGCTAATGGTGGTGTTAGGTATCGACAGTTCGTTATTGTTTCGACAATTCAACCACAGGTCAAAAAGGGTTAACTGCTAAAAATAATTTTCTGATGTAATTGATCAGCTAAGCCCTCAATTCTCAGTTCGATAAGTCAAACCGGTTAGGTTGGACTAGGTTTCAAAACAGCGAAAAATATCATTAATCATATGGGGGAATGAAATAAAATCTTAAATCTTTTTGGTATATTCTCAAGAATGTCTAAGTATACAATATCGGATTATCTAGCATAGTAGAATAACGTATTATGCATGACAATAACCATTCTTCTGGCTATTTTAATACTACAAACTTGTATTTTTTATAATACTAATGAGAGACTGATTTAGTTGATAAACTTTGAATCCCTTCAACTAAAGAGACACGTTATCAATAAATATCGGAGTCTGAAATACAACTTTTGTACCCTAAGATTCATTCACCATAGAATAATATTACACTTACTAATTTTTTATACAAACTTTCTCATACAAGTTGATGTGGCAAAAGATGATTGAATGATCTTAAATTAAAAATAAACTTTTACCTAGTAATCTTTTACCGTACCAGTTTATATGAAAAAATTTATAAGTGTAGTATTACTCCTCCATCGTATCTCATCTTCTTATAACATTATTAAGTTATATGGGCTCCCATTTTTACTTGATGGGTTTGCAGTAAACTTATGTTAGGCCCAATAAACTGTGGGCTTTTCTTTTCTTGATGGACTTGTTGAAAATGGGCATTAGGCCCAATAAATTGTGGGCTATGAAGGGTGCTTATTAAGTCAAGGTTCAATTTTGTATTCTGAATAAATAGTTAGGTAACAAAAGATGAATGTGAAACAAGATTCAAATTCAGCATCTCAAAAGAGTGTCACGACCTTATTTCGCAACGTCAAAATTGATATACACAAACTAAAATAATAAAAAAATGAAGAATTTTAACTTATATGAGTGGTTTTGTATGGTATTTTTGTCACACATTCAAAGTATTTATTTCAAATTTTGTTTCATAGTGAAAATCTTATATATCAAAGTCTAATGTGAATGATCTTGAGTGNAATAAATAGTTAAATAACAAAAGATGAATGTGAAACAAGATTCAAATTCAGCATCTCAAAAGAGTGTCACGACGTTATTTCGGAACGACGAAATTGATATACGCATACTAAAATAATAAAAAAAAATGAAGAATTTTAACTTATATGAGTGGTTTTGTATGGTATTTTTGTCACACATTCAAAGTATTTATTTCAAATTTTGTTTCATAGTGAAAATCTTATATATCAAAGTCTAATGTGAATGATCTTGAATGATAATTTGATATCATATAAAATTTTAATACGGTCAAAATTTCATAATCATGGGACATTTTCAATGGTTACATTTTTGTGAAATGACCCATTTCCAAAAGAACAAAGTAAACCACTAATCTCGTGGTTGGACGATTAGACTTTAGTCATCTGGGTGGGTTATCCAGAGATCTTATGTTCGAGTCACACAAAGTGACAATTTACTACATTTGTGGCTTACCTGACATATTATATTTGTAAGGTGTTCAATAGACCACATGCTTGATTATATGGAAAAAAAAGAGAGAACAAAATAGAGATTGGGTTAGATTGAATTGGGTCAAAATTTGACTCAATATCAAACAAGGAGGCCCAAGACAAGGTTGATAAATGGGTTCATTTTTTTGTTTAATAAACTTTCCCTTTAATTATATGGTTCAAATTTAGAAAGTTTCTTCGGAAGAAGAAAATTAAAGGCAAACGTTCTAATCGCTGTTATTCGGTGCAATGACATTGGTCATTTTGTCAGAAATTATCCAAATAAACCAAATCAATCAGCCAAGATGATCCAACGACTTTCTTAGATTACATATTCTATTTTTTTTCGATGATGATATTGAAAGTTGATTCTCTGTTGATGATGAACCAGTCGAAGACACTATCCTTCAATTCGAGGCTATTGATACTGATACTAGTCTATTTGATATGGACTCGGAAAACTACCTTTCTTCATATCAGATTCAACATATGCCCCAGCCAATTCCACCCATAGCTTTTTCCTATCCAATTCTTTTGGCAAAAATTCAGATATTTCCTACAAAATATGCCAACCCTATTCCCATCATAGCCTCCACTATGTTAAAGTAAAACCAAAAGAAAAGAATGAGATTTTTGTCTTCTAACTAAATTAAACCTTTAATTACTGGCATGATCTCACACATCAAAATGTTCTCTTCCTCTACTCTAAGCTTCATTCCAAGGCTAGGCATATTCCTTAATACACCACAATATTATATAACTTCTTATTCAAATCTGTTGGATTACATTAAATCAATGACTATGAATTTATTTCGTTAATCAATGTAAAAAATTATTAATAGAAAGAACATATAAAAAATAAAATAAAATACATTAAATTTAATATATTAAAAAATCCCCAAAAAATATTTATAAGTAAAGAAACATAATTTAACGCAACTTGTATATTTAATGTATTTTGTAAAATAACTTAATTTAGATTCACTCTCAACCACATTAAAATACTTTACTCTAACGACTCAACAATTATGTATGAAAAGTGGGGTTTTCCCCCTGCCTCGGTCTTGAATTCGAGTTGTACCAAAAGGTGACCAATCACTATCCCTAAAAAAAAAATGGTAAGTTTATTCGTTTCACTGGTCTTGAATTTGAGTTGTACCAATGAGCGACCAATTATCATACTTAAAAAAATAAAAATAAAAAGTGGGGTTTTCGATGTTAACTCTTTATCTATATATATCTCAATAGTGAATTCAACACGGCCAAGTGGAGCAATTGTGATTCACAAGTAAATATATCTTTAACAAATAAATATAATTGTAGCTATCAATCCAGAAGCTTTTATGTAAACTATAGGATTTGATTAAATTACATGAACATGCACTATCACATGCAATTTCTAAATTATCAAACTCCAAAGCTTTGTGCTTGTACAGCTATTGTCTAATATATATACTATTTAATTGCAAATTCAATGGTCAATATAGTAGTTCGGCAGTAGGATTCTATTATGTCACTGTGAGCTTGTGACATTGCTATTCAGGGGAGGTGACAACTCTCAATTATTATTTATCATGGAAGAACATAAATATTTTAAATACTATAAAAAAATATTAGTTCGATAATGTTACTGGACATCGATCCTCCTATTCTGGTAATGTTTATGGGTGGCCATTAATGTCAATAAACAGCCAAAGTTCTAAGTTACGATACTATCTTGGTAGTGGAAGAGTATATCTTTCTTTAAAGGCTATAAAGGCACATTTGTTTTATTATTTCTAGTTTTCTACCCCTATTCGTCAAATATTGTTGGACACATTATTTGAGAAATATTGATTTTTTAATTACTTTTAGACCCTTTAAGTTTTTTAATTTCATCAAATACCCTTAGAAAAAAGTTTTAAAATTAACAAAAACACCCCCACCCACCCATACTTGCCAGATTCTGGCAACCACCACCTGTGGTAGCCTGAATCTGTCACAACGGTCTACACCACCACCAGAAATGGTCGGTAATTCACCGATCTGGCATTTTCCGGCCGTCGACGACGAGATTTGGTCGTGGATCTGGCCGGAAAAGGCCATATCAACGGCCTACCCTCCAGATCCGACCGGTCTGTGGTGTAACACAATTTTCCGGCCAGATTCCGACGGTGGTGACCGGAATTTAGCACTATGGGTGGTGGGTGTGTTTTTGTCATTTTACAAAATTTTTATATATTGGGGTGTTTAGTTAAATTAACAAACCTAGGGGTTTTATAAATTTTTAAATTTTACCTCGTAATACTCGCCTATTCAACTATCCAATATTATTCCCAAAATCCAATCTAAAATAATAAAACAAATGGACCCAAAAGTATTAGTCCGATAATGTTATTGGACGGTTGATTTTTTTTTAGATTTATAATACCATCTTACTATTACGACGACGTTAATAGATGATTGATAATCAATGATGAATAGAATTTTTAGATTTACAATACTATCTTGTTAGTCCGATAACATTTGGTAAAATTTTTAGATTCCAAATCTAAGAGCTCAAAGTTTTTTTTTTTTTTCCTCTTTCATATTTATACGTAGTTGACTTGACATAACAATATTTCTAGAAGTTTTTTAAACCCTAATTTCTTCTCATTAGAAACTAAAGTAATTAGCGAAAGCTTCCTAAATTCTAAAAAAGTGCTTTTGGTAATTAAAAACACTTATAATAAGCAGTGTAGGTGAAGAGTCAAGGTTCCCGAGGCAAATTCCAAGGGGTTTGGTGGGCATATGCTATCTTAATCTGGAAAAAAAATGTTTCTTACCACATGAAAATTTATTGACTTAAAATAACATCAACTGCCTTTACAATTAGGGCAACATCAAGTAGTTGGCAGTTGTTTAATGACATTGTCATGGCAAGAAACCCTTCGCTAATTCTGAGAGGGTTTGGTGAGCTTTCTGTTGAAAAAATATCCAGGTCTTCTTCTTCTTCGTGCATCATTATCTGGGGAACCAAAAATCTTCATCAAGGGTCCCTCCACTCCATATATAAAAGGAATAAATAGCTTCTTCACTTGACCTTATTGCAGATTAATTAATTTATCTTTTCATTTTGTCTTTTATCACATCACTACTTCCACACTTTCCAAAGAATTGATCAAGTTCTTCTCTCTTTCCCTATGCACTTTCATGTGATAATCTTTCTCTCATTCAGTGAAATTTTCAGCACAGAAATTCACTGTACAATGCCATTGTATCATGGAATATGCTGCGGCCTATGGAATGTTTTATTAATTAACTTAATGACAGAAAGAATCTAACATTATGCCATATATATATATAGTTCCAAACTGAAATTGCTCATCATCTTCTAATTAATCTGCTTTTCAGTTTTATTCTGAGTCCAAGAGAGTAATGTTCATGCTGTGTTTTCACCTAATACTTATATTAAATTTAGCAAACTTTAAACCTAATTCCACTTTCGATGATGATAAACATTTTTAATTGTTTGATTGAATCCAAAGACACTTGTTTTTGTAAAATTGTCAATTAACAGTACATGAAAAAGATCGTATCTTGCTGATTGATTTTGCTTATGTTTATATTGAAATCCCTTAGATTTAGTGAAAGTGAAATTTACACCCTTGTGATTGATTGATATTACTAAAAAGTAATGATTCTGTTATGTCTAAAAAGTCAGGGCTAATGTGGACTCTCGTCAATAAGAGTCAATTAGAATTCAGGGAGGCTTTGTGCCATCTAGATGTTGTCACATCGCGCAATGACGAAAGAGGTATAATTCCCGTCAGTGCAACAGGTGAATGTCATGCTTGCGAGTGGCTAGGAATCGTCCACCTGTCCAAGCCCTACGCAATTTAAGGATATCTCTCATGCAGACAACCAATGAGAAGCGGGTTAGGAATTATACCCCACCTGTCAGATTGCAAGCTCATGATTATTATCTTGAATCCTCCCACTATAAATAGAGGACTCCTTTCTCATTTACGAGATTGACTTATCTTTAGTCTTAAACAACATATACTCTCTCTCTCTCTCTCTCTCTCTCTATTTTCTCTCTAGATTGTAACTCAGCTCGCTACATGCGACCTAACTGTAACCATTTATTAATATAATTACAGTGGATGTAGGAATCGCTTTTGAGCATTCGAACCACTTTAAAAACCGTCTTTTATTTACACTCTTGTTGCATATTTGCATATCACGTGTAACTTTTAAGCCTGCTTAGCATTTTATATGTGCGAGTTGTTGGTGTCAAAATCAAGCATCAGCAGATTCGAAGGGTAAAATGGACTATTTCACTCGAGTGACCTGAAAACATCATGGTGAGGCCGCATGTGGCTTTGATCACTTCACTAAATTCAACTGGAATCATACATACCAAGTTATCAAAACAACGACCAAATTAATATTATTGTGGTTGGATCTGGTCATGACTTTGTGCCAATCAGGTTTTTGACTACAACGTTGTGATTTGGCCTCTATTATAGCTAGATCTTGCCACACAAACACCATCTTACATGGGTTTATTTGCCTTTACACTAAAAATTATACGTAAATTGTTATATCCGATTAAATGACTATTAATTATAGGGGTATAAGTGTCACTATTAGAAACTTGTGGGTCACCAGTTAGTTAAACCTAAAGGGGTATCAATGATACCTTCAAAATTCTTGATTGCATCTAACACTTGAATTTCCTAACTTAACTTTTTGACCAAGTCTTATCATCAACAAAAACTATACAAAATTGAAAGGGTGTATGTGTGCATCACCACAATCTCCTATTCACAAACAAATGAGTAAAGACAGAAACACACTAGATCCCTAAAGGCATTACTTACCCCTTAAAAAAAGAAATTCAAACCCCTCAAATCATATTTAATTCTTCATCTTCTTGCACTAACATCAAGGCCTCTCCAATTTTTTTATTTATTTTTCTCCCTCAACTTTCCAAGCCTTTCACAAACACATTCTTTAATGCAAAAGCCTTTGAGCATATACCATTTCTCAAACAAATCTTTATCTAAGAGCAAATTGCATGCCTTGGTTAAAATATGTTGCACATGCAAAAAGAAACTTTGTATTAACATGAAATTCTAGACCAAATCCACAACATGACAAACATGTCTAATCTAGGGATCTGATTACTTTATCTCAGCCCTCTGATCTGTTGAATTTTATTTTATTTTATTTTATTATTATATATATTGATCAATTCCCTCAATGGCTATGGCTATGCCACCTTTTGCTTTTGTTACTGTCCAAAATCAGGTATACACCCACTTAGAATTATAAAAATACAAAGCTACTTTTCTCTTTAGCAGCCTTTTTAGTAACTTATATGATCTTGGTTTTTGCTTGTACAAAAACTTTGCAACTCTCTCATTACTCAATCATCAGTGTCTTTTTATGAGGACCAAATGTTCAAAATCTTTCTCAATTTATTTATAAATTATATATATGTGTACATATAAGTAAGTGGTAGTTGAGGCTCTTCTCTTCCACCAAGAAGGGTAGATAAATACAGGGACCCAATATTATAGGCCAATCCAGCTCTCTCTCTCTCTCTCCCTCTAGATAAGCAGCAAACTTCACACAGGATTCAAGAAGCTTCAATTCTTCTTCTTTCTTTCTTTGCACAAACTTACACAAGAAAAGCCAAAAAATTAATGGCTCCTATGCTGTTTGATGACTCGTTGAAAAGAGAAGCTAAGCCATCACTTAAAACCAGTATGAATATGATCACTACTAAGAAGGAAGTCAACAAGGGAGCTTGGACTGCTGAAGAAGATAGAAAACTAGCTGAGGTTATTGCAGCTCATGGCCCTAAAAGATGGAAGACCATTGCAATTAAAGCAGGTTCAATTCATATACACTCTTTCATGTCATCAACTGAATATGATAACTTCTTCTTCCATTTTCATCAGAAATACATACTGATTGGTGTTCGATTTTCGCAGGCCTAAATCGATGCGGTAAGAGTTGCAGACTAAGATGGATGAATTATCTGAGACCAAATATCAAGAGGGGGAATATATCTGATCAAGAAGAAGACTTGATACTTAGGCTACATAAACTCCTAGGCAACAGGTTTATTTATCTCTAAACATTGCAAATTTGAAGTCAAAACTGCATATTCTTATTCATGTTATTTATTTTTCTTTTCTTTCTTTTCTTTTGGTTAGGTGGTCTTTGATAGCTGGAAGATTACCAGGTCGAACAGATAATGAGATAAAGAACTACTGGAATTCTCATTTGAGCAAGAAAATAAATCAGAAAGAGAAACAAAGTGGGGGGTCAACAAGAGAAGCCACTGTTAATAATCCTAAAGCTGAAAGAATAGTTGCGGAGAAGGTCAATGTACAAATAGTTAATGAAGAGAATAATAACACATCAACAAGTACTGGAGGTGAAGACTCAAACATTGGGTTCAATGTGGATGAGTTCTTTGATTTCTCCAATGAGGATCCTCTAAACTTGGAATGGATGAGCAAATTTCTGAGTTCTGATGAGGGTTTTTCAGTAGAATAATGTGTAAACTTTGTTAATTTTCTCTGCAAAATTCTGATGCAGTAAGTTAACTGCTAATCAATCTGTATGTGCATTAATTCCGACACATAATCTATAAAATTTATTATCCTAGCCAGTAGTATTAAAGCACTAAAATTTTTGGCCTCTATTAACCAAACACTTGAGAGAGATTCTTTTGTAGTGGAAAAGGGTGGTGATAAAGTGAAAGAGAGAGCGTCTTGATTGCTGCAGACGCAGGGTTTATCTTTAAACATGATGAGACAAAAGGCCATAAGAGAGTCTCAAACTCACAAGATGAATATTTTTGGTAGAGAGAGAGATTTTTTTTATTCTATGCGTCCCTTTTATTCTCCACAAGCAATTATTAATTTATAGCATCCAATAGACTTACAAAGAGAAAAATGAGAAAGCCTTTTGTACAATCATATCACTCATGACGTCTGTAGTCCCCATGTCTTTGATAAAAGCATCACATGATACAAAAAAAGTTGTTTCATCAAAGTGAATTAAGCTGGCAACTGGGTTGTCATGTACCAGAGAAGAATAATGCCGTAAAAAGATGCGCGAATGAAGAGATGATGTGATAAGTAATAGTGTATTAGATTACGCTTTGATCGTTTAAGAAGTATGGTGTGAAATAATGCGAAGATTTGAACACTTTCTCTACCTTCTGAGCTTCATAAATGGTAGCTTAATTGACTGAACAAGCTGAACTGCTGCACATGGGGGATTATTTAAAGCATACATCTTCTTGTGCCATAAAGCTCTGCATTGCAAATGTATTATTGATGCAATAATTCCTGAATCATCTTCCGCTCTTCTTGTTTTTTCACCAGCAAAAGCCATCAAAGATTATTGCAAAAGTGAAGTCAAATAATAATACACAAGAAGAGCTCTAATGGCCTCTGTCAAAAAAGGTCATCCCCGACGGATTCTAGTGAAAGAATGAGTGATTAGTTCATCTTATATGAACCTTAAGTCCCAATAGAGAGGATAAAGCAGAGGGGCAATCTGCATTCTTCAGTAATATCATCAAAAATTGAACTCAAAATTCCACTAAAAACCTTCGTGTTTGACGGAGGGCCCTGCCCGACAGATTGTTAAGAATGATAGCTCATCTTGCATCAAAGTGGCTCCAACATTAGGTGACCAAAAGATTAGTACAACATGCAGTAACATCTTCATGCTAGTACATTGAATTCTCTCAGTATCACATGGTCTTTCAGAGTACTGACCTGAAAAATTTACAGCCAGAGTATTAAAACTCCTTTTAATATGCTCAACAAACACCCACTTAAGGGCATTTATTTTTGCACCAAATCAAACAGAATGTATACATTATAGTTTGGCTATATTTGGATGTTCATATTTAAATGTCTCCACCAAACAAAAAACTTTAGAGCTGACATTGCCATCTTAATGCATTTATTCACCTTAACATTGGGAAGCTGTGCTACTGAACTTCTACAAGGCAATCATTAGCAGTTTTGAAATATCACCATTAGTTACTAGTTTACGATGGAAAAAACCATTCTAAGACAATGTTCATATAGACTTAAATGATACATAGGAGAGTACATTAGGCCAAGTTTCTAACAGCTGCCAAGCACCAACACAAATAATTGCAAAAAGGAATATTGACCACTTTATGCATCAGAATAGTATTTCAGCTTTACATCAAAATGAATACGTATATTGCAATTCTTGTGCAGAAAATTATGCTAAAAAAAAGAAAAAACAAAAGAATGTGAACTTTCAGCTTTCAATCCATCTCCCCGGTAGGAATCTTTCAGCAAATCATGTTCGTTTGGTTGCATGAAAGTGAAAATTTCAGAGTTCTGCCACAGAAGCTGCACTTGTAGAGAACAGGGATTGGAAAGGAAAAACCTAGAAAATTAATGGAGGAAAGGTGTGCGCTAGCACAACAATGAATTTTATTTTTCTTCACTCACCAGAACAAGCAGAGATAAAACTACATAATAACAAATACATAAAGGAATACTTACATATGAACAGTTTTGTATCATCGGACCCATCACAGAATCAGCCCCATGCCATGGAGCAAGCATAATTGACAATCAATTTACCATCAAAACCAAAATTCTGCAACGTCAAATCAGCTGTGGATAAGCAACAGATAAAAGTATGAAAGTAGCAATGCAATTCAAAAGATACAGCATAAAGTCAATATTGAAATTTAAATGGTTTTGTTGATTATCTTTACAGAAGCAACAACAATCTGGACTCTGTTATACTCCTCAGAAGAAACTAAGATAACCTCCATTAAAAGTCAAAGACCTTACAAAACCTTTTCTCCCAAACAAATAACATTTTTTCACTAATCATATCGGAATTGAAATTTAAAAAATCTAAAAAATTGAATCTTAATGCAAATTTACGCAGGTTCCATGGTTCCATTATTACATACTCATCATAATCAGGAAAAGACAAAAGATATGAGGATTAATACACCTTGTTAGCCAACAAAGCTTCTCCTAGTACACTCAACTTCCCTCGCAGATAGACACTCAAGGACAAGGGTTAGAGGAGTGGTGGACTTATATAAATAATCATATAGTAACAACATAAAAGACAGTATCTTACATTCACATGCAACATTGTGTATACAGAACATATAGGCACTTCTACCATAATTTTGCTAAATGAGAACCATTTTATGTGAATCATGGAGTATTTAAAAAGTTTTCAATCCTTGTTCCAAATATCATACTACATACAAAACATACTCAAGGATGTAAACTCATATCAAAGCCAAATAAATTGATTGAAAACCACAAAATAGAAAAAAAGGTATCTCGTTCTAAATGTTCATAAAGAATAAACCACAAATAGGTTACGCAATTACTTGGTCTTTCATGGCAACTTATACTGTAAAACAAGACAAGCACCAAAACATTGCCAATACTTCATTGATGCACATGGGTGGAATAATGAGCAGATAGAAACACAGAAAACATGTAAATATTCAATTCAATAAATTCTTTCAACAATAATGGGACAGGAAATATATATCACTACCCATAGGAGAAGGGGAGATGAAAATCAATAGCATTAAGTGAAACTTACATTATACAGATCGATTACTAATTCATCCGGGTTTGGTGAGAATGCACTGTTAACATACACAAACTAAAAAACAGTAGTAAGAGCTTAGTACGCAAAACACATAGGTTGTCATAATACTGGCCTAACATTATTAAACAAATACCAAGGTCTCTCGGCCAAGATGTCGGCATAGGAAGTCAATTACTTTTGCAAACTTGTCAGCTCCCGATATCTGCCAAATTGTTGAGCCTAGGGATATCAGCATTACAACAATAACATAGCAACAAAAAATTTTGTTATTTCAATCAGCTTCAAGATAAAAAGTCAGGCCAGACGAAAGATTATGAGAGCAGTAAAACTTGAAACTCAAATTACACTATTTTTCTGACGACCTTGGGAGATGGCTTACTGCTAAGTAACTTCAATCATGTTCCACTTATACTCCCCAATAGTTTACAAATCTTCACAAAAAGAGCCAATGGATTTCAAAATGCAAATTTAAAAATATAATTGGGCATCGATATTTTTTTTTTCTTTCAGTCATAACAAACTATAAACATCACAACTAGAACAAGCATCCAAATTTAACCTTATTCTAGCATCCCACACATGAAAAATTCACACAAATGCGAAATCAATTTAGGGTTTCAAAAAGGGCATCTGCATACACATTCATGAACCTAAAAATTAAAATAAACAAATATAATTTCCAACTACAAATTTCACTCTTATTTCAATGAACCCACATACAAAAACTCATCATGCACAAAATCTCCCTAAAACACACCTGGGTTTCACATATGATCAATTAAAATATCAAAACTTCACCAAATAAAAAACATATAAATTGATCAAATGACCACCTTGAACTTGGCCTGCTTAAGTATAGGAGCACCGCCAGTGGCTCTAAAGTGAACAACAACTGCATCAAAGTTGAAAAAAATAAGAAGAATTTAACAAATAATAAAAACCCAATTAAACGATTCGAAATTAACAATTTTGATAAATTAAAACGCTGACAAGCAAAAATCGCATATGGGTTTATTCATGGGTGAAAGATTACTCGCCTTTTCGAACAGAACTCGGTGACTCAGTCGCCATCTCGTCTTATCTGAATCAAATACTGGGTTGAACGAGTTTTGTAAGAGTTGACAATGAAAATTGCTACTAGTTGGTTTCCACTTATTTTTGGGCTCTTGAAGTGTGGAACAAGCAATTCTAAATTGATTGGAAATTTGGAAGGGATAATATCAGTGAACTCCGCTAAGGCTTCCTTTATTAACACCCCTAACTTTTTAAAAAATCAAACTTTTCCATAGGTTTCTCTAACTATCATTAATCACCCCGTACAATTCTCGTTGACCTCTCTATGGAGGGTTTTACTTTGTTTTGAGAGATTAGTGGTAATTAGGAAAATGTGAGGGGAATTTGGAAATAATTAGAGCGAAGATCAATAATATTATTAAAGTGTAAGAGCTGTTTACAAAATTAGGATAAAAATAAATATTAGGAAAGGTAATAAATTATCCATTTTAATAGTATAAGCATTATTTAAGCATCACCAAATCTTTTTTTTTTTTTTTTTAAAGGCACGAGATGTCTCCACACTCGAAGATATGTGACTAATTCTCAATCGAAACTCGGGTAAATGCCCTTGGTCATAAGTTGTTTCCAGAGAGATACAAACCCTGATATTGGGGGTAATTTTTTTTGTTTTTTTCTTTATGATCGATGATTCTTGATGTCAAGCATGCCTAATTAGTCCAAGAAAATAGAATGGGAGCCACCTAAAACAGGTTTTAGTGAGATCGACTAATGGTACATATCAATCTAACGAAATATTATATGTCGCATGAGAAACAATGCATACTTTGATAAAAAATAGAATGAGTTAGTCTTTTGATTTATAAAAATGCGTGCTTTGGGTGCGTTTGTTTTATTATTCCTTATCCTATTCCCAATCATATTCCTAAAATACATGTTTGTTTAATTATTTGAGAAATACTATTCTATTTTTTAATTATTTTTAGACCCCTTAAGTTTATTAATTTATTAAACACCCCTGGAAAAAAGTTTAAAAATTAACAAAAATACCCCCACCCACCCATAGTTGCCAGATTCCGGCGACCACTATCGGCGATTGTCGGAATCTATCACAACGGCATAGAAACGATCGGAAATAGCCGATAATTTGCCGATTTGGCCTTTTTTGGTCAAATCCATAGTCTGGTCAAGGTTGACCGACAATGACAGCTATATCTTTATGACCTTTTGTGGCTGTCGATGGCCAGATCTGGTCGTAGATTTGGTATTTTCCAGCCAGATCCGTGGTGGATCTGGCCGGAAAAGGCCATATCAATGCATGACCGACCAGATCCGACTGGTCTGCGTTGTAACGCCATTTTCTGGCGGTGGTGGCGAGAATCTGGCATTGTAGATAAGTGGGGGTGTTTTTGTCATTTTACAAAAAATTTATATATTGGGGTGTTTAATTAAATTAGCAAACCTAAGGAGTTTTTTTTTTTATTAATTTTTAAATTTTATCTCGTAATACTCACCCTATTCAACTACCAAATATTATTTTCAAAATAACAAAACAAACGCACCCATTTATAAATTAGTCTTTTTTTACTTAAGAATGAGGGTCTCATTCATGACAATCTAGTTATCACGATGTTCATGCCAATTGAATTATTATGATGAAGATAGAATATTTTATATCATTTAAAAATATATAATCTAGGTCAATAAGTAATATTTTATAAATTCGAATCCAACAATACAAGAAGAACACTTGTACATTGTGATGCAACCTTGTTGGATTTTATTGCCAAACATGTGGAAAATGCAAATTGGGTTGTGATCATTAGCCTTGATTAACTAACAATATCATTAACATTTGTTTAAACCTAATCTTGGAATAAGTGTCATGCATATTTTAATTATAAAAACAAAAACCCAATTAAATAAAAAGGTGTATATATATATAAAATCAAAATATCTCTCATATGTGATGTTGATATATACAATCATTTTATGTTAATAAATATTAAAAACAAAATTTTAGTTAAAGGTATTTTTAAGATGTAAAAGTGATGTATAGTGCTTCATAGCACCTTCGGAAGTCTAGATCTTAGGAAAAAATTGGAAGCATCTAAACATTTTTTATATAAAAAACAGTAAAATAATTCAAACGGGTAAAAGATTTGGGATGTCCCCATCTTATGGGGAAGCCTTTCGCAAGTCAATTCTTCAACTTATTTTCAAACACCGAACATGTGCTCCTAACTCCTAGAACACCACAACCACCACCACTAAATTAAAGAAAATTGTAATAAAAAAAAAGGAAAAGAAGAAGAAGAAGAAGAAGAAGAAGATAGAAGCCTTTTTTAATTAGAAATGAAACAGTTAAATAAGAAAAAAGAGTGGTTGCCGGCGGTGGCAGGTGAGTGGGGGTGGTGGCTTGGGTGGGCTACAATTTGTTTTGAATTCAAGGGTAATTTTGTCCAAAAAGTTAATTAATTGAGGTAAAATAGCAAAAGTTATATTCATGTAAATTAATTTAAAAATAAGGGTATTATTGTCTTAAAATTTTATTAATAAGGGATAGAATTGTAATTAAAAAAATGGAGGTTGTCAGATTACTTCCAATATTATCAACAGTAACTACTATTAGTATTAGAAGATTACCGGAATCTTATATTACTTGACAATCAAATGTCATCAAATATCTTTCTGTCAATATATAATAGAATAATCATTTAACAATATATGTAATAAGAAAAGAAGAAGATAGAAGTATTTTTTTAATTAGAAATGAAATAATTAAGTAATAATAAGGAGTGGGAAAATGTAATGAAACTATATGGGTTGATAATTTGGTGGTGATTAATTAATTTGTTGAATATTGGATTCTTTCTTATTATGATAAAGACAAGTTGTGTATAAGTTGACCCCATTTTATATTTTATTAATTAATTAATCTAGCTGTTGGTATGATTATGTAAGTGATTATACATTTATATCAAGAATTTCAACATAAAATTATAACCTAGACTAGGCATTCTTTTTCTTAAACAGGAACCTAGGTTATTAATTAAGCAATTAATATCCCAAATTGCTCATAATTATTCTTACTTACTCCACAAGAGTATGGAACCACCACTTAGAAATTAAACATTAAAAAATTTTAAAGTTAACTTAAAAAGCCATCAATAATGGGTTAATTAGATGAATTTAAATATAAAAATACTCTAAATTTGTTAATTATTCTTCAATGGATTATTAGTTTAAAAGGAACAATTCCAATTTGGTTACAATAATTGATGAAGGGTCTTGTAATTTGTTTTAATTGAATAATTCAAATGTTAACCACCCTTGGTTGGTCGGGTGGGGCATTAGAGATTTTTGAGTGTATTACTCAAGAGGTTTTGAGTTCGATTCCCCTTAGTTGTTAATATGAGTGACTGTGAAGGGTTTATCTGGTTATTAATTTCAGGACTTTGGAAGATTAGTCGAAGTATGCGTAAACTGGCTCAAACACCTTCGATCATCCAAAATAATAATAATAATTCAAATGTTAACAACTTGGATTTATGTACGCAAATGTCTTTGTCTATGGTCAGCATCAAAACATAAAGGGAAAATATATATATAAATTATTTGAGGAGTAGGGTTTTCTATTCTATTCTAGTCTCATCGGGAAGACATTATCTTCCACTAAAAAAAGTGGCTAAACAAAGATTTGATTTAGGTAGTTGTCAAAAGTAATTAATTGTAGAAACCAAAAACAACCCTATTTTGGCTTAATTTTCTTAAACTAAAATCATTTCGGGAGGCCCATTTTCCAGCCAACTAATTTTCTTTAGATCTGACATTTCGATGATGGTTTTCATAGCTTTTGATTAAAATAATATCAGCCTTACAAAGAGTCATACAAAGAGATAAATTCAGTCTTTGAAATTCATGATTGTATTTCTCTCTCTCTCTCTTTTCCCTTATTTTAAAGATTAGATTTACCTCTTTGTATGACTTTTTGTATGTCTCTTGTAAGGCTAGTATTACTCTTTCGATTATATATGTAACTTTTCTTCAGTACAAATTTAAAATATAAATATCCTTTTAAATTATATTTTATTATTGATAAAATAAGAATCTTTATTCTAATACCATGTTAAATATGTACGGAATAAATATAAAATTAATATCATTTAAACCTATAACCGGTTGCATCTTTACTAATTTTATTTTATTTTTATTGAAAGTGGGGTAGTTTTATGAGTTTATGTACATCAAGTTTTCACAAAAAGATCGATAATGGAGGCCTTAATGATTCACCTTTATTGTGCAAGTTTCAATCTCATGCACGTTCCCTCGTCAGTTTGGTCCACCTCAATAGTATCAAATTTGCTTTTCACCAACCAATGAACGAAACAAATATAATGAAAAAAATAATTAAAAAAAAGTGAGAGAGAGAGAGTTTTGATATTCAAATTCTTTAAATTATACATAGTTTTATTTTATGTTCCCACTAGATTGCAAACGACAAGCTCAAAGAAAGAGAGAGAGATATTCTTATGCACATGGAAAATTAACCTATTTTGCACGAGCTACATCCTTAACTATCTCTACATGTAGCTAGGTATATACATAATATGATAATAATAATAATAATAATAATAATTACAATAATATTAGTTAAGTCAGGTGATTATTTAGTCTTGAAACCATTCAAATCCGGAGCCCATTAATGAATCCATAAAGGGAAAATCGGAGTCATGGAGCTTCTTCTTGTCTTCACAAAACAAAAGGGTTTGGTTAGAATTCGGATGACGATCATCACCACCACCTAAAGAGCCTTTGTCACATGAGTTAATGATTTCAGCACTACCACTTGGACCTCCATTATTAATAATATTTTCAAAAGATGATAATTGTGAGAAATCTGAGTTGAGAAATGACAGTAAATGCTCGTCCATTTGCAAATCCATCATGAAATCCGATAGATTATTCTCCTGAAAGTTGAATTCCGGTAATGCTTCACCTCCCTTCACAGTATAATGATCATCTTCATCATTATTGTTCATCACCACTGTGGCTCCACCTCCACCTCTGGATCCGGCTCCAGCTGCAAGCTGCTTACTGTCAATAACTTGATGATCTTGGTCAAAATTTTGTGGTTCTAAGGGACTAATGACCACTTTGTTACACTTTGAAGCCTTTGTCCAAATCAAATTTGAATCCTTATCAGTTTTCGGAGACGGAGACTTGGATGGCGATTTTTTTTCGACTGCAAAATTCGCCTTTTCTCGGTACTGATATGAAGCTCTTCTGGTAGTACTTGATGGAGAGTTTGTTTGATGGTGGTCTTGTAATCTTTTGCCAATGTTGGTGTTCCAGTAGTTCTTGATTTCATTGTCTGTTCGCCCTGGAAGCCTTCCAGCAATTAAAGACCACCTGCAAAACCACCACATTCATAATCCCTCTGTCAAACCTTAACTCCATTAATTTCTTTCACATCAATCTAAATTAATTACTTTAACTACAAATTAAAAGAAAAACAAAAAAAAAGAAATGAAAAGAAATGAACCTGTTTCCCAGGAGCTTGTGTAGCCTGATTATCAGTTCCTCTTCATCGCGACTAATGTTGCCTCTCTTAATATCAGGTCTCAGATAATTCAACCATCTCAATCTGCAACTTTTCCCACATCTTTTCAATCCTGCAAATTAACACAATTAACCATATATTAATTAAAACTACTCTGTAATATGTACAAAGATACCTTAAAAATAATTATATATCTCACCTGCTTTTTTGGGTACATTTCTCCATTTTCCTTCACCATGAGCTTTAATGTACTCAGTGAGTATTTTATCTTCTGAAGCTGTCCATGCTCCTCTATTCAACCCTTCTTTTGCACAGCAAGGACTCCTTCCCATCTCTCTCTCCCTCTCTCTCTCTCTCTCTCTCTTTCTTTTTGAAGTTGTCCGGTTTGTTTTTATTTTGAGCTCCCAAGTGTTTGGGTTGTATCTCTAAGAGAGTGAAGGAGCCAGGCAATATATATGCCAATTTTATATATATATATATAAATATTTCACTGGTCTCTCATCATGTTGGTCACATATATATATATTAAAAAATTACCCTAGAAGTTCATGAATCTCTCCCTCTCTCTCTTTTCGTCTGCCTCTTCAAGTCCACACTTAAGAAAATTTTGATTTCTCAATTGAAAAATCTTATGTTGATTAAAATCTATAAAAAGTCTGGAGGGGGTTTTGGTAGTTTGTGCAACTGGGGACCATCCTTTTGCCTAACAGGTTGAGGTAATAATGATAGCAAACACACACATAAAAAATTAATTTAAAATGCATTTTTATATGTGGTGATGAAGATAGCAGCAGCCTCAATAGTCTATTGTTTTGCCTGCAGCTTGGTATTGTTTAACCAACACCAGCACACCATAAATACTTTCACCTGCCCTTCTTCTATTCCTGCCCCTGCTGGCTGTTCCCTCTCAAGCTAACTTTCTCGCCCTTTTACTTGGAAAGTTTGTTGAACACATGAAGAAAGATCAGAAGATGACTCTCTCTCTCTCTCTCTCTCTCTCTCTCTTTCTGTTTCTTTTATTCTTGACAGAAATTCTTGTGTCAACATTTTTACACACGCCCAAAAAAAGAATTCTACCAACCTGATCTTTAACTCTATGTTGTTGCATGTGATGTGTTTTTGTTAAACTTGTTATAAGAGTTTAAATCTTATTATTATTTCACCCTCCTTTCGTTACAGCCTTAAATTTTTAGGTTATTTATTAGAACAGAGATCTTGATTATGAATACACTTTATATATCTATGTCTATATGTCTTTGAACTGTATGTATCACATGGTGGTGTTGCTCTTTCCAAGATACTGATTTGAAATTTTTTACATCCAATTTAACAATATATACGAGCTTGATCTTTGAACTGTATGTTTTGTATTAATTTAAGCTTTTAGGTAAAGTACGTGGTTATCTAGAATAGTATCAAATCAGAAATATTGATTGTGAGTACCTTGATATGTTATTTCAGTCTTTGTATTTTCGGACGGTATATCATATTGTCACATGGTGCCCTGCTGCTCTTTGAAGAGCCCGATTTGTCTATTATGTGTCCAAGGGTACATCATAGTGCCACCCTTGAGTTTTGGCACGGAAATGCTATCATCCTCTAATTTTGAGAAAGTAATGTTATTACCCTTAAACGACGGTATTTCTGTTAATTGAATGCATTTGTTCATAGAATAAAAAGATATTTTGATAAATCATTAGTATTAGACATATATAATTGGTGCTGAAGTTGTCGACCACTTCAACAATAACGGACCACACAGACGCATTCGGGGATCCGTAAATCACAGGGCAAATTACTTTTTCATTATATGAGGGTGATAACAAATTATAAGGCAAATTACCTTCATTGTAACGAAAAAGGTGATATTTTGCATATATTTTTTTTTATTTTGATTTCGTATTACTCTAGGTTATTTTTGTTCATGGTTTTAGACAAAAGGTTGACCAATTTTGGTTTTGTTAATGTAAATGGTATTGATGCCTTTAGCTGACAAAACCTTTGCTTTGGGGTGTCAACTTAGTTTCTCAAAATTCGAGGGAGAAGGCGGCGTCACACCAAATTTCAGGTGGGCAGTTAGTTATCACGTCGTTGCCTAGACAAGGAACTCAGCTGGAATGGTAAAAGTTGAATAACACCATGTAATTTATTAAAGGGAGACGAAGAAAAAGTTAACAAAGGAGCATTGACGAACAGAAATATACCTTTCCAGTCAATTCAAAGAAAATGGACAAGCATTAAATTAACAATCCAATTGTGTGTGCTATCAATCTGTTTTACTTTTTATCCATTCGGAAAAAATGCAGTACAAGATGAGTTAATCATGAGTGCTCATGATTCATTCCGTCAATAATTATATCGCTTCGTCATCTTCGGAGATGAATCAATCTCTATTAAATTTATAAAATCATTTATCTCAAAGGCATAGTTAAAAATTCATAATTAACTACTTTAGGTAGTTTGATAGTTCGTATGAGATTTTTGGATGTAATACTCAAGAGATTTTAAGTTCGAATCTCCATAACTACTTATAAGGGATAATCATTGAAGACCTGAGATGATTAGTTGATGTACGTACAAACTGGTTTAGACACCTTCAAATAACCAAAAAAATAAAAATAAAATAATTCATAGCTGGGACATATCATCACTACTATGAGCATTCTTCAACAAGTTTACAACGTTCTAGTTTTGCATCAATCGGGAAAGGACTGAATTCTAGTAATTTTTTTGGAGTTCCATGAGATGATACTTTGTCGCTTCGAATGCGAGAAAATTGGACTATATGTGACCCTTATTTCGCATCAAAAATAATTTCCACTTACCATCAATTGAGGCCAGATTGTTAGATTCTGTAGTCTCACGAGAGTCATGACACACTATGTTGTATATGCCCTATTTCATTGTAATTTATTCACATAACACGATGTTTTGTCCCAAAGATTGATTAATTTTTGTTTAAAGCTGAAAATCCACATACAATAAACGAGCTAGCTAGCTAGCTAGTCGTGCGTCCCATGTGAAGTCTTCTCTAGATTATGCAAGAAATTGCACAAACGGTACGAACTTTAAATTAATTTACTCCTGCACATTTGTTATTGTCAATTGGATGAGCAATATAACTTATAATAATCCGGCGGCCGCTACCCTTTAATCATAAAAGACAAGACTTAATTAGTTATAATTAAAGCCGTAGTGATGATAATAGAGCAAGAACCAGACCACCACGATCGCGACCCAACGGCGAACGCAATGACGTTTAACATTACCGGATAGTTATATATTAATATGAATAGTTGGATGAACTTAAATAACAGTAGCAAGCAAAGACCATAACATTTTTCTCCAAGCTAAATCAGTCTGTCGGTAGGTCGTCTCTTAATTTAACCCAGGTGAAAATGTTGACTGACTGGGGTGGGGTTGGTGATGGGTCCATTTATTTTCAGTAATTGATTGATGAGACGGTTGCAATCAAGTCCTCCAAAGTACTCTAGCTAGCCTTTGTTGGCTGGCACTAGAATATTGTTCCAAAATTTGCATTTAAAGACTTGCAAATTCATTGCCTGTGTGATGAATCTAGAACTTTGAGAAGTGATAGCGATACCTTTCCATTCAATTAATGGCGGCATCCACCACTTATTTGCTCAATCAGTGCAAGTAGATTGTCAAAGCCTCTAAGCTTCTTGCAAGAATTTTACAACTCCTTTATTTATGGCCAAACCAAAATAGCAAACAATCAAAAAAGTGAATCAGTATATAAAAAACACTATATACCAACGCCAAGTTATTTCTGATGTCAGCCGAAGTCACGTCGGTATATATAAAGCAGTGTTTTAGTGGTATAGTTAAGCTCCACCAATTTGTTTCCATGGCCGGCAGTCTATAATAAAGAAAAATAGAATGACTTTATTTTAAGCCAAACGAAAAAGGACCCATTTTAGGTAGAGAAAATCACTGATAATTATTACTTAATGGCAACAATTTTAAATAGACTTGTTGGGATAACAACACTTGCATCTAACTACACGTTTGTTGTAATATCAGTTGATTTTCACTGCCCTAGTTTTTGAAATTTATAGATAGAACCATGACCCTGTAAATCTCACAGCTTGCCGTTCAATTAATTTTCCATGTTCTTACTATAAAAATTCAAAATACTCCATTATTAGATCCATATAATATAGACTAGATCTTTCATTAATCATTCATACGTTGAGATTGATTGATTCTACGCATGGAAATGAACAAGAAATGGGAAATTAAATTGTTGAAAGCGAGATGGAGACTAATTAGAGATGAGATGAAATTGAATCTATTAAAGTTAGAAATATAAAACCAATCAAATATAGTTTACTTTCGACACGGAAAGAATTTATTGAGCTTTCTAACATATTTAATATTGCCTTTTATTCACATGAAAGCTGACTGCCAAACTTCTACTATTAATTCATTCGTTCATCTTCTTCAAAACTAGCTAACTAATTAGGTGAGGCAACAAATTTTATTTTTATTTTTTTCAAAGGAATTGTCTTGCATGTAGCTCTTACAATTGACATCAAAACGTGATGAAAATATGAAACTGATTATTAGTGTTGCTAACGTATGTCGGATTTAGACACATAGCAGGTAAGTTTTCAGAAGTATTGTCCAATTTAGGCCCCACACGGTTTTGTCTGAAAAGACACCTCTCGGCCAAATCAATTAGAAGACAAGAGTCTTGATCGCTTATATAGCATAATGACATCTTCAAAACCCAGAAACGTTTTTTTAGGACAAAATTATGCGGGTATGTTTCATCGTTGATCATCTAGGATCACACACACCCCTTATGTGTTTCACGATATATTTTTTCTTCTATATAAGTATTTTTCTTAGATGAAATACATACATAAATTGCTGTTGTTAACTCGACTAAATCTTTTAAATTTGACTATTGTTAGTCGCAAGTTTCATGATTAATATATAGGTTCAAAATGGAGATCAGAATATTTTATTTAATACTATATCAAATATGTATGTATTAGGCACAAAGTTAACAATAGTGAATTAATGATTAATATTTTGAAGAATATAGCATGTTTGTTTATTTCCTTAATTATCATATTAACATCGTTTATTTCATGGGAAGCATATTTCATGTTTCTCTCCACTTTAATTTGCTTTGATCGATCGAATATCAGAACTTTTGAATTAATTTCTAATTTCGATTATTAATTATTTAATTAGCTAGCATGGAAGAAGAAGTCTAGAAGCAGCCATAGGAGTCGTATAATTTAGTTCAAATGGCCCTAAAGTAAACCAAGTAATTGACGTATTCTATTAGGGATTCTTCACATCAATCAAAATGAAGCAAGTAATGAATACGTAGAATAATATTATTCTTTTATTTTTTGTAACAAAGATGTCCAGATCAACTTACACGCACCTCGATTAATTCTCGAAAGAGACTAGCGTAACAACCCATCACTACGGCCTCTCACTTAAATTG